TGCAGGAAAGGACAGAGCTGTGTTCCATACAGCTGGATCCAGCACTTACAGCCTGAGCAATGAGCAAGCACCGGTGCTGCACTTGCCTTAGGAAGTTTGCAAGGTGCTATCTCCTTGCAGTGACAGCTCACCAACAAAAACTGTGCACTGGCTGGGTCCCGTTCTGCTCATCACTGCAGTACAGTCATCACTGCAGACTGCCATCAGGTTTGAAGCAGAACTCTTCCTGAACAGGCTTCACTCCACAGGCTTTGAAACTGATATTGCAATACAGGGCCCTGGCAATAGAATTTTACTGCAATAAAATACTGACAAAGGTCTATATTGGGATAAGCAATTTAAGCTTATTTGTACTATTTAGACTCTTAATTTGTTTAAAACTGAAAAGACTTTTGGTGATCCCACATTCCTGTTGATTCTGTTTGTTTACTCTCTGCTCAGCACAGATACTAGGGGCAGTACGCTTTGTGTTCTGATTTCTTCTGGGTTTCCAGAACCACAGGGCTTGGGAGGGATGAGGAGGAACGGTTTGTGACACTAATCCAGAAGGACCATGAAAGCATTTCTGATCCCCCTAGGGTTACAGCACTTTCGTTAACCTGCAGCCTTTGGCTGATAAATAACTGTAAAAGCATTGCTTTGGTAGTTGAACGCTGCAGCAGGGCACGAGGTTTGTTTCTTTTGGTCTGTTTTCCAGCTCCCATTCTGAAGTCATCAGTAGTGGTTAATAGCTGTCAGAAGAAGACTTAAATGCCTCTGCATAAGGGAGTTGCCTAGCACCATGCAATACTTAGCAAAGTTTCTGCTCTTGAGCAGTTGGCCTGCCAACACCAGTGATTTAGTTTGGTTCATGTGAGCTGTGACAGGCTGCCTGAGGGACACCAGCATGGTATGAGCTGGGGCGCTGGCACCGGCTCAGTTAAGTCTTTACGTACCTGGGGAGGTGTGAAGAGAGTGCCCTGGGCCGCACAGCTCTGAGGGACTGGCCACGGTTAACAAGTTGTATCGACAGAATTGACTGAAATCTGCAACCCTTTTTCTGCACAGAGGGGCTGTTGCACACATAACTGCTTGCCTGCATGAGTATATGTTTTCTTGAGCAGTTCAAATTTCAAGCTCTGAAAACAGATGCCTGTTTGGGTCTCTGTAAATCATCAGTGGATTAAATCCAGCTCACATAGTTGTGTTTCAGCCAGGCAACTGTGAATGCAGCTTCCACCCATCTTCCTTCTAGCTGGCAGCTATTAGACATCAATTCCCACTTCACACGTGGGAATCCTCACAGCCTTGCCTTTTTTCTAGACTATACAAAGATGACTTAAGCTGCCAGTGACTGTCAAGGGCTACCCCAGCAAACAGAGCCCATCAGTGGGACTGGATATATGATGATACAAGGCTCTGGGCTTCTCATTCTCAGCTCCTGGAAGCTGCAGAGGTGCAGGAAACTCTTTTGGACCTGTGAGTTTATTACCAGGCTGACAATTTACTCTTTTGACCCCTAAATTATTCCAGCTGTGATCTTGAGCAAACCAACAATTAATTTTCTATCAGGAGAAAGATATTACAGGTTCTAGATTAGAAAACATCCCCCTAATTGGACATTGTATTGTAATTGTAAAATTGGCTGTAATACAGCTCTTTTGGCTCTGTCACTGTGAGCTAATGGGCTCACTGAAGTCCAGTGGTGTCTGATCAAATGTCATCAATTCTTTGATGATCAATTCTTATTCAGATGAGAGTCAGTAATCAATAACTCTTCCAGGGTATGTTTCACAGCCATGCCACCTATTTGCCACTGGCTTTGGGTTGAAGTTGCATCAGACTGGGACTTGGAAGGCAGTTGAAGAGTGACCTAGTATGGATTCATGCTTATGTGTTGGTGATGCTTGGGATGTAACAGCCGCTGCCTGTAGGGCACTGGCAGATATGCTCAGGGAAGGAGCTGGCAGTTCATGCCACGTGCAGAGTTGTTGGTTGTAGGTATGGGATGAGCAATTCTGTGAAGTGGGTATTTAACCGGATTTTGGTGAACTATTTTGTAGAGACAAACAGGCTTTTGCGGGAATAACAAGCACACAGATACTCTCATATGTGCATTGTAGGAGCCTGCCTCTGGGAACAGGGCTTTTTATTATGAAATTTAGCCGTGTTACAACAGTAGTGGTTTTTTAATATCTAAGTGTTTTAAAGGCTGACCCAGTGGAAAGCTCTGAGGTACATAGCACAAGGCACTTGGCTGTTTCATTCATTAGCATTGCTAAAAAGCTGTAGAAACTAGAAATCATGCTGTAACTGGTGTATCTAGCACATAGAATCACAGAACCAGCTGGGTTGGAAAAGACCTTTAACACATCAAGTCCAACCACTACCCCAGGACTGCCAAGACCACTTGGCTTATTAGAGGAAGACTGGGAGGAAGAGGGGGGAGAGTTATGCTATACTCCATGGCTTTAGGCTCAATAAACATTGAAGTTGTACTTAGATTCAAGATCAGATTAGAGGCCCACTTCTGTTAGCAGTAAGCCAAAGGCTGTAGTTGTTCAAACACAAAGATTAGAATGTGGGTGTATTGCTGGGTCTATTGCAGGCAGAGCTGCACATAACAATAACCCTTCTTGCAAACTCTTGTTTTATGCTGCAGTCACACTGTTTCTAGCAGGCTCACTGGTTAATGAGAGCAGCTTTATTTTCATTTTGAAAGACTTTGTTTTAGATGGAAAATAAAAGGTGTCTCTCAAAATTGTTTTTCTACTTTATTGAGTTCAAACCAATCCCAGAATGTTAAATAAGGGCTGAAGTACCATAATTGGGGTCTGTTTCATGTCAGACCTGGCTCTGTATTTCACATACCAAGTGATGTGATTACTTAGTCTCTGTGGTGCTCCAAAATCATCAAACCCTCCCAGTCTTGGGAATGATGGTGTGATTCTATACAATCTCGAAGACAGTGGCTGAAGAAACACATGGATGAGGAACGCCTGGTTGGGAAGGAGAAGAGCATTGTAGGGCAATAGCAATAAGGAATAAGTGCTGCAATACTCAGCGGAGGTGGCGAGTTCTGTAGTTTATTGAGCAGTCTTACTTCACAGGGTTGAAGAAGTTACAAGCTCCCAAATGGCATTACAACTTGCTCTGTGTCCTTTTGCTTTAATGTCAGAGCTCTGTTTACCCAAATCTTCTCTGCGGAAACTAAATCAGCAATACCATGAAATAGGAATACCTTAACTGAAATGGCAATAGCACTGGTCTGCAGTGAGCCATAGATGAACTGGTGTCCATCTGCTGGAAGGGGTTCTCCCTGCGTCTGGATATTTCTGTGCCTTATCATACTTGCTAAAGGTGACTCGGTAGCTGGAAGTCACTGAAGTTTGGGTTGGTTTGTGGTGCCTGTACAGAAGAATGTTTTCACAGTATCACAGTATGCTAGAGATTGGAAGGGAACAGTTCAGAGCATACCAGATTTTGAAGTTTTCATTTGCTTTTTCTGTTTCTTTCATGATAACCTCCTCTCTCTTCCTAAATATACAGAAATTAACTGCACAGGGTCTTCATTCTAATTCACCAAATCACATTGACCTACTTTGTTATAGCAGTTCTCTGCAGGCAGAATCCAGAATACGCTTGTAGCAACAGTCTCGCCTCTTACTACAAAGCACAGCTAATATGTACATTGTTTTGTTTTGTTTTGCCTGTGGCTGTACCACAGAGCTTGTGGTCCCTGGTTGTTCTTCAGCTTTATTCTGCTGTACTCATGTTGGCCAAACTGGCAATGGACTTCCCAGCTCGAGTACTGCTGGATTCTTCAGGCAGCACTTGCCGCACAGTTCTGAACTGGAATATTCTGCTGTATTTCAACCGCTGAAGCAGTTTGAATGGTTGAGGAGACTCCGCTCAACATACCTGTTCCCAACCCTACACCAATGCAATTATCTCCACCCGCAGCCGGGGCACAGATACGGGTTTTTAACTAGTGCAGGTGCAGCCTCAGCGCTGTCAGCTCTGCGACTTCAGCCGTGAGACTGCAGCGTGCGAGCGGGCTGCGGGAGTGTCAGTGGCCCTGGTGCTGCTGCATGTCTGGGGTAGCCACAGATGACAGTGAGCCCTCTGCAATAATGCGTGATTCCGGTGATCAGTAGTAAATGATGTACCAATAAAACTTGATTACATGTATTTTATGTGAAAAAAAAAAAATGTAAGAAGTGTACATGATATTAGCAGCTTTGTGTATAAAATGGCATTTTGGCAATCAGAGTCTAATATATTTAAAACTTTTTTTTTTAAAAAAGGATATTTGATATTGTATGGAATTGACACTGTTGCTACTGTATGAAGATGGTTTCTTAACATATTGAAGCAATGCATAAAATCGTAAACTTGATGTAAAACTCATGCCAAAAGGGTATATCTGACAGTATTAGCACCTGACTCCATGTCTTTAATAGATTGATTTTTTTAATTTAAAGATTATATTAAATTCGTTTTAATAATACAGAAACGCCACCGAGTTTTATTTCCTGGGTTTACATTTGGGGACTCTGCTTAAATGTCTGTGCCGCCCCCTCAGCTCCAGGACTTGTCTGGAAGAATAAACCCAGGCGGGGGTAGGTAGAACATTCAGTTTTCAGCCGGCAGCGGCAGCGTGGGATGGGGGCGAGCAGCAGTGATGGCGCCGGGGCTGCGTGTCCCGGGTCTCGTCCTCTCCGAGACATCAGGCGCTCGTCAGAGCGCTCCAAACGGGGGTCCTTAGCGGGGGCTGGGCTCGGGGGAAGGCAGGGGGCCCGCAGCACCTCGTGGGTGAAGGGGACCGGGACCGGGCGCCCCGAGCCGGGCACTGCCGGGGCTGCGCGGCCCGGAGGCTGCGGGAACGACCCCGCCGGTGCCGCCGCTTCCCGCGGCCTCAGCGAGCGGGGCCCGAGGGGCGGGGCCAGCTCCGCCGCAGCCAACCGGGGCGCGGGGCAGGGCGCGGAGCCCCCACTGGCGGCGCGGCGCTGTTTGGATTCAAACCCGCTATAAAGCGGCGGCCGGGGCCGAGCTGAGCCGGTCGGCGCCCCGCGCGATGGCGAGCCCGTCGCGGTGGCTGGAGGAGGGCGCCGGGCGCTGGTCGCCGCGGCCGCCCGGGCCGTACAGCGAGGCGCAGCGGCTGGCGCTGGAGGAGCTGGTGGCGGGCGGCCCCGAGGCGCTGCGCGCCTTCCTGCGGCGGGAGCAGCTGCCGCCGTTCCTCTCGGAGCCCGAGGTGCAGGCGATCGCGCGGGGCGCGCTGCCGCCTGCCGCGGCCCCGGAGCCGGCGGCCGAGCCCTTCGCCGGCGCCTCCCTCGACGCCTCGTCGCTCACCTACTTCCCCGAGCGCTCGGACGTGGAGCCGCCCGCCCTGGAGCTGGGCTGGCCGGGCTTCGCCAGCGGCGCCTTCCGCGGGCTCACGCGGGTCGAGGCGCACTTCCAGCCCGGCTGCGGGGACAGCATCTACGGCTGCAAGGAGGCGGTGCGGCGCCAGATCCGCTCCGCGCGGCAGGTCAGTGCGGCCGCGGCGGGGCTGCTGCGTGCTCGGATGCGCCTGGGGCCCTGCTCCAGCGGGGCTGCGACCCGGGACGGGGATCGGCGACGGCATCGACGGGCGTCCCCTTCGGGTGGCGCTCAGCGGGGCCGAGCGGCTTTAGAACCGCCGTCGGGCAAAGAACGCTTCGTTGGAGCAGCTCTGCTCTGGAGCCAGGCTGAGAGAGCTGGGCTGGGTCAGCCTGGACAAGAGAAGGCTCCTCAAGGGGAGACCTGAGAGCAGCTCCAGTGCCTAAAGGGGCTGCAGGAAAGCTGGAGAGGGGCTTGGGACAAGGGCCTGCAGGGACAGGCCAAGGGGAATGGCTTGAACCTGCCAGAGGGGAGACTGAGATGAGCTCTTAGGCAGAAGCTCTTCCCTGGGAGGGTGCTGAGGCGCTGGCACAGGGTGGCCAGAGAAGCTGTGGCTGCCCCATCCCTGGCAGTGTTCAAGGGCAGGTTGGACACAGGGGCTTGGAGCAAGCTGCTCTAGTGGAAGAGGTCCCTGCCTGTGGCAGGGGTTGGAGCTGGAGGAGCTTTAAGGGCCCTTCCAACACAAACCAGGCTGGGATTCTATGATGTGATTCTGTGACAATCTTATAAATACACGACTGGTGCTCATTCCTCCGTGTTTGTGGATGTGCTATACCCATGATATCTTGCTGTCCTCCTTATTGTCACTCTAGAAGGCTTGGGCCAAGTGTTCTCTGTCCCCAGTACGACCTGTAGATCCCCTGCTGCTGTTCATGGTCAAACCACCCATTGCTTACATGCTTATTTTGCTCGTGTTCAAAGTGGAAGGTTTCCTTTTCTGTGTTCCTTACCAATGTGCTATGCAAAATGGATTTGCATGCAGAAACCTCCTGCTGTTATAAAAGGGGATGGCACAAAAAAAAGGCCTTTCTTAAAAAACTTTATTTACTAAGAGATAACCCTCTGATTATATCTTCTTTCTTTACCTCTTCCCTTCTTCATCTCTTTGGCTGTTTTTAAGTAATGTGCAGAGCTGCTCTTAGCAGGATTTCCCTCCTACAGGAGTGGATTGTTTTGATCTGGTGCAGAGTATGGCTTGAAGGTCATGCAGCGTACTGACTTCTAACTGTTCTCTGTAACTCATAATGTTACCTGAGTTTATAGCCTCCAACTGTAACCCGCGAGAGGGAACCACCCTTCTGGTGAGCAGCCACTCAATGGGCTTAGCTAGAATTTAAATGTACAGCTTCCTCTTCAGTGGCCAGGTGAAGCAAGCCCTGGCTCTGCATAACGTGTGTGCACATGGCACACCCTGCACAGCAACTGAGCTTGGTCCTAGCCCCCTTCTGAGTGCAGGAGCTTAGGGTGTGTATGAGGATGACGTGAACGATGGGCTTCTCGCCAGAAACGGTCACAGAGGGAGGGCTGTTCTCAAGGGATCTTGTCAGGTGGATGAGACTGGTCTGGTGACTCAGGAAACTCCATGGAAATACCTGTTTATCCAAAAAGCTGTTCTTGCATGTAGTATCCTGCCAAACGCTTTCCCTTGCTCCAAACCAAAAGCCAGGGAAACTGTTCCTGCTGCTGCCGTGTACGTGTCTGATACATGAAGGCTTTTTGTAGACATGGAATGGAGAGAAATTTTGGCTGTCAGCTGCAGAGTGATATTGCGCAGTCATGTCTGAATACTTTGGGTGAACTTGAGAAATGGGAAGACTTTCAGATGCTGTACAGGTTCTTCTCAATTCACTCAAATGCAGTCAGTTCAAGTGATTAAAGGGGACCCTGTTGCTATCTTGCGTCTGCAGTCCTGAATGGATGAGTGTAGAGAAAAGGGTTTTCTCTCCCTCCTCTAAACATAACTGTATTTTTGCACGTTTTGAATAAAAGTGTATTTCTTTTCAGCTGATTCTAGGATTAGAACCCAAGTATACCATTAATTGAACAGTCATTTGAAGGCATTAGTGCTTCCAAGGAGTTTAGTGTGAATTTTTCTGTGTTCAGGGGTTATTTTCTTACTCATCTGATCTTGTGAAACCATCTTATTTTTCTTTATCGTCCTTGGTACTTAGACAAGTGATTGGGTGGAGAAAGCCACAGGAGAGATGCAAGAAGCACAAGCATAAACTAATACCAATGTGACTGTGTATGTTATGCCCAGGAACCCATCCATATGGAGCCAATCCCTTAGGGCGTATGACGCAGGTGGGAATGCAAAGCTTAGCCAGTTCTTGTGGGAAGTACAGGCAATGCCACCCACAGAGCAGCTGCGTTGTGAGCAGGCACACCTTGTGCAGATGCCTTACGGATCTGACAAGGGCAGGCACTGGGTACCAGCAGTGATTGTTCCCGATGCTGCTCTTATAGACAGAGAATAGGAAAGTCATGAAATCCCATCTTTGGGTCCCACAGCGATGTGTGCTCCTGATTTTGAAGGGTGAGAATTCTTGCACCAAAATGATGTTCAATCTGGCTCTGAATTTTCTAGAGAAGGGGGTTCATAAACACAGGACTGTCATCTTGTCTTTGGCCTGCTGAAAGAACATCTTAGGACTTGCCTCCTGTAGAGAATGGTTGAGTGAGTGGGAAGATTTCTCGTGAAGGTGTGCGATGGAAACTTGGAGCATGTGGAGACAGTGTTCTCACGGGAGAATGCATAATTAGTACATAAACTCTGAATAATCCTGAAAGATACAGCAAGGCCATGAGAGGCCCGAAGAAGCTTAAGCAAGCAAGATAAGAAGCTGGAGTTCACTGAGTTAACGAGAACTGTGGACTGTTGGCAAGCTTTCGAGGTCAAGTTCTCACACCTGTGCTTAAGCAATTATATGTTAGTCACTAAGGGTCTTCAAGACATGTATCCAATCATAATATGCCAAATCACTGTACGTGCATGTAAGAAATAGTATATAAGGGGTTAAGGCTTTGTCATAAATTTGGCAATCGCTTGATCACATTGATCGTCTCTGCGTTGTCCGTGACTCCCGCGTCAACAGGAGCACACCAAGTCTGGAAACTGTGTTCAGTTTGTATGTTGTCACAGAACTAGCTTATGTCTTGGTAGCTTATTTAGGGACAGCATTCCCTTCCTACCAAATAAAGGAATCAGTCGGGGGTTGTGAGATGCTCAGTGGTGACAGTGAGGAGGTCACTCGAGCTGATTCTCCTGCAGGCAGTGGCTCCCTGTAGGAGGTATGGCACCCTGGGAGAACAGGAGGTGGAGGTGGCTGGTCTGGAATTTGATTCTGCTGTGATGGCTTCCACAGTGTTACTGAAAGGCCACATTAGAAGAGGAGATTATGTATGCAAGCAGGATGTGAAAGTGTACAAAAGCCGCAGCAGAGGTGAGGAAAAAGCTCTTTAGGCTTATTCTTTGCTATCCAGGGCGCAAGGAATTTGCAGAAACATTGTGGGAATATAGAAATCTTCAATAAGTTGCCAGGGCCTGCACAGCAGGACAAAGAAATGTGCATCTGGCCTTAATGGTGGAAGCAGAAGATGGCTGGGGAGGCAGTGATCTGGCCTTCTGTAAAGTAAAGCCCTGAAACAAACGTTGTCACTTCTCTTGCAGGTGATTGCCCTTGTGATGGACGCCTTCACAGATACCGATATCTTCAGTGACCTTCAGGATGCCTTTAACAACCGCAAAGTCCCTGTCTACATCCTTCTTGACCAGGACTCTCTACGACATTTCTTGGAAATGTGCGACAATCTGGGAGTCTGTCCTGAGCAGGAAAGAGTAAGTACTGACTGTGGGTGCCTGGGAGTGGTTTGGCTTTATTTTTTGTGCTACAGTTTATGGTTATGGATGTCCAAGTTACGCTTCTGTAAACCAGCAGACTCCCTTGGAAGATTACAGCATCCTGTCTGTTTGGTAACTGATGTGAAAGCAGATTTTCTGACATGTTTCTCAACTTCTGAAGATCAAGGCTCAATATCTCACTATTTCAGTCTCTAACACAACATGTGAAACTGCTCACAAACTTGGCAAAAGCCACGCAGAAAAGGCACATGTCCTGCACTATGCTCCCTGTGTGCAGGAGCTGCAGCCTACCCTGTGCTGGGTTGGGTGTGCACTGTGATCCGCATCCTGAGGAAGCAATTAGTTTTGGAAGATGTAAGTAGCTTTGTTCTTTGGCTCAAGGAACTGCTTGCTGAAGAAGCAGAAACACAGCTCAAGGGTAGTATAGCTCTGGTAACATCTCATTTCTTTCCTAATACACAGTTACTTTCTTTTGAAAAGGTTTAGATTATGTGACCCGGGTGATTTATTAATTCAGAGGAATATAGGCTGACATAACTGTTACAGCATGGCTTGGTATGGCTTATGTTCACTTCAGTGAGAGCTTCTCTGGACGGGGAACACTTCTAGCCTCCTGGGCACTAATGAATCAGAACTGGCTGTTCTCTTTACAGACTCTCCTAATCTAACAGAAATTTAACTATTAACGTGTGCAGACAGTGTGAGGAAGCTCATTTTGTTGCTGCCTTCCATAGTGTGCATGGCTGCTTTTAGGTGGAATTGCTAACTAAAACTTTTTGAAAGTTACTTAGATCTGATATTATGTTTTCCCTTTTCTGAAACAGCTGCTGAGAATTCGAGCCCTCACGGGGAGCACGTACTACCTGAGATCAGGTGCCAAAATTGTTGGGAAAGCCCACGAGAAGTTCATGTTAATTGATGGCATTAGAGTGACAACAGGTTCCTACAGGCAAGTATTGGGGTCTGATGGTGCTAGTGAAGCTACAGAAAGTGGGGGTTCTGCAAGAAGAATGTATGACCTTTGCTGTTTGCCTGGTATTAATGAAGGCCAATGGCAAGCGGACTGGCTGAGCCTACGTGGGGCTAATGCAAAACTGGAAACAGCTTTGGAAAACTCTTTTGCACAACTTGTTGCTAGCAAAGCACCTGGCCATGGCTAAATAGAGTCCTTCCTGAAGGAGAATGAATAGTTTATGAACTTTATACCCTCCTTTATGCACAGCAGTTCTAAGCTAAGTCTTGCTATCTGTAACTGTATGTGTTGAAATGCACTGGAGATTAACTGTGGCTCTTGGTTTGTTCCTGATAGTTTCACATGGTCCGATGGGAAGCTGAACAGCAGTAACTTGCTGCTATTGTCAGGGCAAGTGGTTGAACACTTTGACCTCCAGTTCAGGATTCTTTATGCCCAGTCAATGCCCATCAGCCCTAAGTGTCTGTCCAGCTGCAGGAACAGCGGGATATTCAATCACCTGGTGAGCAGAATAGAGTCCTCTAAAGAATATACTGTGGAAGGCAACTTGAGAGCAGAATTTGCCAGATTGTCCAGTACTCCAAAGAAACTATTGAAAGAACCAGATCAGGCTGAAGATAGTTCTGGAGAAAACTCCTGTAACCTGGGGCATTCTTGCCTCTCTGAAGAGGCAATCGAGTTCAGCAATCGAGTGGCCACTGTGGATCGGAGAAGCACATCGACTCAAACTGGCCCATGGGAAGAGAAGCAGGCAGTGACTGTGTGTAATGCTGCCACGCAGACCTATTTTGTGACAGCAGAAACTGGCACGCAGGCATCAGTCACTGCTAGAATGACGGGCACTCAGACTTCAGTCTTGTTGAAAACTGCAGTGACACAGACAAGGGAAAGTGAGTACACAGAAACACCGCTGCTTCACAGAAAGTTGTCAAAAGAAGGATCTTCTCTGTCTGGAAAGGTTGTATCAAGTTCTAGTCTGTGGTCACTGTCTTCGTCCTCATCCCAGTGCTCTCTTGCCAGCTCTACTGGCTCGGCATCTTCTCTTCGGTCCTTTGAATATCCTGTCCATCACAGGGCAGAGTATTTCCAAAAGCTGCACAAAGAGAGGCAGTTCCACTACTCCACTATCAGGTCGAAGCTGAGCCACATGGTGCATATCCTATCCCGGAGGGGCCGTGAGCCTGAAAGCTACGTGTCCCAGTACGTGGGAAGATGCCATTTGAAACAGAGGCGTGACATCAGTGCCAGCTTGCGCAGCCTCCGGGACCTTTCCCTCTATTCTCAGAATAAACGATGACTCCACTCGATGCAGAACACACAATCACCAGTCTCAAACTTCAGTCACTCTGTTCCTGCTGATTCCACTTCCTTCCAGGACTTTTCTTAATACACATGTGCATACCCCTTCAGTACTTTGTTTTATACTATGCAGTTTAAGCAATAAAAAAAGAGGTGTTTATTTGTATGATAAGTACTTGCCTGTTCCTCTTATGTGTTAGTGGTGAAGGTTCATTTTAATTTTGGATGTACAACCTGGAAAGTAAACTGATTACTGTGTCCTAGGATTGCTAATGCTCTGGCTTTGTGTATATTTGGCAGAACTGCAGTCAGAGGGGTCCTGCCTGGAGGCAGATTCAGTGACATCAAGAAATGCTCCTTTTTTTTTTTTTTTTTTTCAGTACTGGCTTTTTTACCTATTTTATCTTCATGATAAAATCTTCAGCATGAGGGGAAACAACCTTTATAAAGAGCCATAAAGCTGATTTTATTCTGACTTCAGCAATATATACATTACTCATCCATTAAAGTTGTGAAGGGTCTAATGGAGCTGCTGCAGGTTCTTATCTTCAACTGTGTCCCTTGCCCATTGTTCAAACCTGAAATGGCCTGAACTAATTTAGCTCTTCAGCTTGATCATCCCCTCATGTTTTTGTGTAGGTATACCCACACACTTTTGTGCATATATACATATATGTGTGTGTTTGTGTGTATATATATATATATGCACACATTCTCAGAAGAGCATTACTTTAAAACCAGGACGGGGAAGTAGCAACTTAACACTGTTGTAGCTGTTACCTATTTTAGAGACAGTCCTGATGTAAATGTTTTCAGTATTTGGAACTAAAAGATGGATCTGCTGGACCTATATGACTACTGATGGGAAGGTGTTGCTGAAGTGTTGGGTTTTGTGCTTGTGAGAGGAGCTGATATGGTATCTCAGCTGTATCCTTATGGTATCTTACTGTACCTTGCTGTTCCACACCTGTCAGACTCCTCTTTTGGAATGACTTCAGGGAACTTTGTCTCTTGTACAGCTTGTTACACAGAGTAAACAGTTTCAGTTGTAGCACTGTAAAACCAGCTTCCAGCTCTGGCTCAGTCTAGGAACATATGAGCCATCTTTTTTCTATAAAGAGACCTGTACAAAATGTAGAGGTGAGACAATGACTGAAGGCCCCTGCTTAAAAGCAAACTATTATGCACTACAAAATGTTATGGGTTATGTTTTGTGATGTTGTACAAGTATGAGTGAGGAAAATAAAAACTCTCTTTCCTGCTCTGCTTATCCTTTCCCCACTACTAACTTGGGTTAAGGAGCTGCACTGTTGCTCTAGTTTTTCAATATATTCTGTTTTCAGTATTAAATGCATCCTAGGTTAAGTTGCTTTGCAGGGACACGATGTGGCTCTGCCAGCAGCAGTCTGTGCATGTGTCTGCGCTCGCTGGATTACTGGTCTGAGCAGCGTGGAGGTTCTGTTAAGACCTGACCTGTGCTGTTCTCCACTGGCCCTGCATGTGAGTGACCAACCGGCCTATTCAGCCAAGTCAAACTGGAGTCTGGGTTGTGTATTTTCCTGTTTATCCACACTTGTGTCCAGTAGATGGCACATTTAAGCTGTTGTCTTTAATATTCCCGTAAACAGCAAAGAATGGGGGAATAAAGAAAAATATCCAAACCACAAAAAGGCTGCAACTCCAGTGTACAGAGAAATGCTTTTTTCTACTAACTTAGGTGTTCCCACCTCTGAAATCATATAGATATCTATGTAGGATAAAGAGGTTTAGCTACTTTTATTGCTTGGATTTCAAAGCAACCACTCCTTCCGTGAGGAGGGGGGCAGATGTACCGAGAGGTGCAGGCTGAGGAGGAAAATTTCTGTCTGCTCAAAGAGGTAAGAAACTGGTCCTATGAGCTGGAACACGGGGAGTGAAGTAAGTAGCAGAAAGGGAGTTGAGATACACTGTCAAGGCCAATTTCGAGTGCCTGTGCTCAGCAGTGCTTCTGTGTATGTAAAATCAACCTGCGTGCTATGTACCTTTATTACATTGTGCGGCGGTTACGGTGCTCTCACACGAACAAGCAGCAGTTTACAAATCAACTCATTCTGCCGTGAGGGTTTTCACCTGATCGTTGCAGAGCTGCGTTTGCTGCCTGCTGTTTTGGACCCAGATGTTTCTTAAGCACGTCCGTGGGCTTGGCGTCCTCCGGCTACCCGGGCCTCGCAGAGCAGGCTGCGCTGGGGCGCCTGCCCGGGGGAGGGACTTGGCCCTCCTCAACCTGGGGACCAGGTCTTTGATCACCGGGGCAGCAGCGCCAGGGCTGTACTTAACTCTCCCCGCTTAATGCGAGCTCCGTGTGCTTGCGGATGCTTCTCCCTGGGCTGCTGATCCCAGCCGCCGGGGGGAGCGGAGCCTGCTCGACCGCCCGCTGCTGCCGCGGGGCCGGGCGGGGGGGCGGAGAAGAGCCACGGAGCGTGGGGCCCGCCCGCGGAGCCGCTATAAAGCGGCGGCCGGGGCCGAGCTGAGCCGGTCGGCGCCCCGCGCGATGGCGAGCCCGTCGCGGTGGCTGGAGGAGGGCGCCGGGCGCTGGTCGCCGCGGCCGCCCGGGCCGTACAGCGAGGCGCAGCGGCTGGCGCTGGAGGAGCTGGTGGCGGGCGGCCCCGAGGCGCTGCGCGCCTTCCTGCGGCGGGAGCAGCTGCCGCCGTTCCTCTCGGAGCCCGAGGTGCAGGCGATCGCGCGGGGCGCGCTGCCGCCTGCCGCGGCCCCGGAGCCGGCGGCCGAGCCCTTCGCCGGCGCCTCCCTCGACGCCTCGTCGCTCACCTACTTCCCCGAGCGCTCGGACGTGGAGCCGCCCGCCCTGGAGCTGGGCTGGCCGGGCTTCGCCAGCGGCGCCTTCCGCGGGCTCACGCGGGTCGAGGCGCACTTCCAGCCCGGCTGCGGGGACAGCATCTACGGCTGCAAGGAGGCGGTGCGGCGCCAGATCCGCTCCGCGCGGCAGGTCAGTGCGGGCGCGGCGGGGCTGCTGCGTGCTCGGATGCGCCTGGGGCCCTGCTCCAGCGGGGCTGCGACCCGGGACGGGGATCGGCGACGGCATCGACGGGCGTCCCCTTCGGGTGGCGCTCAGCGGGGCCGAGCGGCTTTAGAACCGCCGTCGGGCAAAGAACGCTTCGTTGGAGCAGCTCTGCTCTGGAGCCAGGCTGAGAGAGCTGGGCTGGGTCAGCCTGCACAAGAGAAGGCTCCTCAAGGGGAGACCTGAGAGCAGCTCCAGTGCCTAAAGGGGCTGCAGGAAAGCTGGAGAGGGGGTTGGGACAAGGGCCCGTAGAGCCAGGCCAAGGGGAATGGCTTGAACCTGCCAGAGGGGAGACTGAGATGAGCTCTTAGGCAGAAGCTCTTCCCTGTGAGGGTGCTGAGGCGCTGGCACAGGGTGCCCAGAGAAGCTGTGGCTGCCCCATCCCTGGCAGTGTTCAAGGCCAGGTTGGACGCAGGGGCTTGGAGCAAGCTGCTCTGGTGGAAGGGGTCCCTGCCCGTGGCAGGGGTTGGAGCTGGAGGAGCTTTAAAGTCCCTTCTAACCCAAACCAGTCCGGGATTCTATTATTCTTATCAAGGTTTTCTCCCACACTGATGAAAGTACAGGCATTACAAAGCTCATTCAGGGACTTGACACCTGAGAGTGACATATTCCTGGCTCTCTTAATCACTTCTTGTGTCCATGTCCTGCACCGGGTACAGGCAAACGTTTGCGTTCAGTCTATGTGTTTTGTTGTTGGTTTAGGTTTTTCTTATACTGTTTTCTCACTTGAAAAGTTTGATAGACTCTGGAGAACGAACACTTTGGAAATCAGCTCATCATTTTCTTCTGGCAGTGCTTTTGAAGAAAATATCTGTTCCTGGGGGAAAAAAATCTCTCTTGCCAAGGAATCGGAGACCAGATTTGCCTCCCACAGAAGCAGACGCGTGGTTTTGCCAGAAGTCAGGGTTAGGAAGAAACTTGAAGCAATGATGCACTTATTTTGTTACTGTTGTGCTTCTTCCAAGATATTCCATCACCCCAAACATATCCACATTGAACTCGGTGCTCCTGTTACACCCAAGTTATTAATGTGGGTGAAGAAGACTGGCAGCAAAATGTCTTTCTTTTTCTCATGTGAAATACTTGTTTATGAGCTCACTTAAGGTTTTGGAGAGGTGTCAAGTGTCTCTCTGCCTGTGTAGGTCTTGGCAGTGCTCTGGAGTTGGGGGGAAAGGAGCAAACACTCAGTTTTCTGTAATTTTTCCTGGAAGGTGAAGTTACGTAGTAAAAAAGGGAATGCTTTAGAATGACCTTAATTAAAACCCGTGAGCAACTGACTAGATGCAGGAGCTCTGACTGCTGCTAATTCATGATGAACTCTGATTTTTAAAGACAGAAAAGGTGTCTTTCCGCAATAGGCTTTCAGGGTAGATTATCTGTAACTATGGAACCAAAACAGAAACAAAAGAAGCTTCAATGTCCACTGTTGAAATTACAGGATAATCTTAAGGTCCTTTCCAACCCAAACCATTCTATGATTCTATGATAAATCAGTTAAGTGATAGCAAAATTGGGGCAAAGAATCTTTAGCAACAATTTCTGCCCATAAGCTCAGTTTTTTTTTTCTGATTTATACAGGGACAGGATCATAGTGAAGGGCGATGTATATTGTATCTCCCGTACCTCAGTGTACTATACTCAGTCATCACCTTTACTAAAACATCCTTCTCTTTGCAGAAATTTATTCTAATCAGCTTTTTTCCTTTCTATTACATCTGTAAATGTTCCAGCGGTCCTGTGAACAACAAATGGATATATCAGATCACAGAAGTCTGCCCCATGTTTCATAACCACCAATAAAAAAAAAGGGGGGGGGAAGACACAGATAGGGGGATATTTAAGTTGAAGGTCAAATGCCTCCTGTGCCATCTGCCTTGGGGTGCTGTGGAACCAGCCTAATGATCTCTTCTGAAACTTGTTGCAGATGATTGCCCTGGTGATGGATTCCTTCACAGACACTGATATCTTCAAAGATCTCTTGGAAGCTTGTAGCCAGCGGCAAGTTAAAGCCTATATCCTTCTAGATCAGTCTTCATTTTCCCACTTTCTAAAAATGTGCAAGGATCTGGGAGTTGACCTTGAACAGGAAAAGGTGAGCCTTGTCATATTCATAGGGACAGACTTGATCCTCTTATGGCTGTGATCTTTGAGGTATCACAAGAAGAAACTGTTGTATCTGCTGCCACAATTTAAATGGGGTTTATGTAGCTATAGCTCTTTCTTGAAGATTTAAGCATAAGAAGGAAATGAATAGAGAAACTGAAATCTTTGTAAATGGATGTTACAGGTGCTTTCTGAGCACAAATACTAATTGAATATTAAAGGCAATGCAGGAGGAATGTCCAGTTCCTAAAGCATGAGTGGAGTTGGTCAGGCTCACTGAGACTTTGCAGGTTGGTGGAGAAGCAGGTTCTTGGGGCTCTGTGGAACTTGTTCCCTCTGAGGTTAAGTGACAGGAGTTTTTACAGCCAGATTTTGCACAACCAGCTTATGGGTTTGCCCCTTAATGCCATCTCTTTGCCTACTAAAGACAAAATTATCATTTGGTTTGTAGAGGGTGGATCTTGTGCCATTGTGAGCAGCCTTTGCTAGTTCCTCAGTGATCACTGTTGTGTGTTACTCCTTTAAACACAATCGTTTACTTTGAAATCCACATGACACCTATCTTTAACAGTTGATGAGAATTCGAAATATCACGGGGAATATATACTACACAAGGTCGGGTGCCAAAATTGTTGGAAAAGTCCGTGAGAAGTTCATGTTAATTGATGGCATTAGAGTGACAACAGGCTCCTACAGGCAAGTGCCAATTTCTTTATGTTGCTTAGCATGATTTCTTTACATGGAAAGGAAAATCAGCCGTGTTGCAAAACTGCTTTCCTTGTCAGAGTAAATGTGTAAAGTTTGTCCTAAAAAGTGCACGCTGCCTATCATTTGGATTATAGGAATGATTTAACTTAATATGATGAAAGAGAATTTTCAGTTAATACTACCATTCATTTTGAATTAACTCAAATTTTTCTCATCCTTCCTTTGCTAGTTTCACGTGGACAGATGGGAAGCTGAACAGCAGTAACATTTTGATCCTGTCAGGTCCTGCAGTTGCACACTTTGACCTGGAATTTCGGATTCTTTATGCACGGTCAAAGCCTATCAACCTCAAAGAGTTATCCAGCTGCAGGAAGAATAAGGTGTTGGACCAGGTGGTCAGTATAACAGTGGCTTCCAGAGACTTGACCAGAATGGAGTTTTTGTATCTTAGAGCATTTGTAGGGAATCTCAAAAGGAAGCGAAACTGGCTGCATGCCTCGAGGGAGGCCGTCTACGTGTCAAATAATGCAATGCATGCCTCTCCTCCACTGACTAAGAGGAATGGTTCCCTAGTTATGAGGCCACACTGGATCATAGAGAGATGAATTGCACGTTCACTCAGTGGGAGAAGCAGAACCTCAGGAACCACATCCAGTTGTCCATGTCCAGTGCTGTCTCACAGAATGTCCGTGAGAGCAGCTGGGAAACAAACCTTGAACTGAGAGAAGTGATCCTGGCATTGTGGGTTCGTTCAAAGACCACTATAATGCAGATCAACACATGCAGTTAGGGTATTGTCTTCAGCTCAGATGTGTTTTTGGAAAAGAAACAAAACCCCTCTTAACACCTGGAAAGCCATTATTGACTTCTAGTATCTGTCTTCTGTCAGATTTTAATTTTTCAGCCATTCTCACATGTATTCAGCTGATGGGTTACCAGTGGCTTAGCTCAGTAACTCAAATCTTTTTTTAAAGTAATTTAGGTGTAGGAAATATGTTGCTTAAAAGTCTTCCAAAGATGAATAGCAGGACTGCTGCACGGCACTGGAATCAGTCCTGTGTGGCACAAGCTCCCTATGAATGTTTTAATGACACAGAACTGAAGCAGAGTAACCATAGCCTAGAAACAGGTAAATCAGTACCATGTTACTGGTCCTCAAATGTTACATTATCTTTATGCGAGGCTGTGCTGCCTGGCGGGATGAGGTAACACAGGTGAACAAGGGTTTTGATTGAATTCCAAATGACCTTTTCTTAATTATAAGAATGCTTGGCTTGCTGGACATCCTGCAATAAATATCTATCTAAATGGACACATATTTTTAGAAAAAAAACCACCAAACCCTTTCTTAACACCTGGAAAGCCATTATTGACTTCTAGTCAATATCTAGTCTACCTAAATAGATATTTAGAAAAATTTAGATAAAAATCAATAAATGAATATCTAAAGTATTTATTAGTTGAGTAGACCTGAAATTTGTGAAGCTGCTGCTGCTTCTCAAAAGCCTTACTTCAACCAGACATGCAATAATGTAAAAATCAGCAATAGAACCATTTATTCTCAAGGTTTCATGCAAGTTCGGTTTTTTTTTTTTTTTTTAATCAGTTTGTAGAGAAAACCAAAAATCCCAAATGAATAGGCTATCTGTATCCTCCCAGGCAGCTGTGCATGCAGGCACTGAAGTCCCAGCAGCCTGCTAGTGCAGAAACTTGTCAGTCCAACTAACGAGTGGCAGCTGTAGCAAAAGCAAAGGCACACTGTTCCTCAGGTTGCTCTTGAGGCTCTTGCTACTGCAAAAAACTCAGGTATATGCTTGCATAAGTGTTGTGTGGGTTCTAAGCTTCAAAAGGGAAGGTTAAAACTTAGCTGGGGCACTTCATACGCAACTCTGCTAAATCTCACCAGGATAACGTTAAACTGGAAACGTTGAGCTCACAGAAACGGTTTTTTGGACACTGCAATGATGTACTGGTTAGGTTATGACTAATCTGCACCCCTTTTCTTCTGCACTTAATGCTCATGGAAATGTAATAGTTCTGACTCTCCTAATTTGTAAATGTTCAATAGTTTATAGTTCAATAGTCTTGACTTTCATCCAGATGTAAAGAAGTTTGAAATATATGTATTTTTATTCTTAACTGTGTTTTTCACAAACCAAACCTATACAATGTTGTACTCTATGCAGAATATTGTTTTTGCAATCCTATTTTCACAATAATTACCTGTATATGTTTTCTCAACTGTAAGTTTTTATCATTCATCTCATCATTTAACAGGTAACTCCACGTGCCATTAGTAGGACTTTTTCTCAATAGTTGCTTAATATCTTGATGATACAAAATAGTGTGATAAGTTGTGTTTATTTCTGATAGAGTGGACTTAATCTAGCTATAAATTTCAATGTGTTTTTTCAGAATTTTAAGAATGTCTTTAATTCTAACTGAATAACCTCTTTCTCAAGTGATACCTAGACTTGACTTAAAAAGTGGCGGTGGAGGTACAGCATTGGGAAGTGTGGTTTTGTGTTAATCCACAACTGCACTGCTACTGTGTCCAGTCATTCTCGAAGAAGGCGAGTGATTAATAAGTATACAAAATGTGTTTATTTTCCATGAGCATTAATTTTGACAGCATTACTAAACTTACTGGAAGCCGTTTCTTTCTTTTTTTTTACTCCAGCCTATACTTAATTAACTCAAAATTTACATTCAATTTGATCCACCAGCCACTGTCACGGGCTGTAATGAGCCAGCGGTAGGGCACCACTGGATCTATTAATGACTGTTAACTGTTTTCTTTCTAGTCCTTCAGCTTCCTGGTGTAAAGTGCCACAGCTGTGGTGCACTTTAGTGTAGTGTGGAGTCATCCTTCATGTGGAGCAGGGAGGTGATTAGTTTTACTTGATCAACAAGACAAGGACTTTTTTAGGCAATCTCTCAATTCTGTTAAATCCTAGCTTCTCCCCCAGGTTATACGTTTTAGTCACATCTGGAGGGCTTGGCTCAGACTTGCCCTGGTCCTGCAGTATTTGTTTTACTGTTTTCCTCTGGGCTTGGAGGGGAAGGGTGGTCCTCAGCAACACCGTTTCTGCGTGTGGAACTACCAGCATGGGGCTTGGACATGGTGCTACAAACCCGGAGCCCTTCTTGCCGGTAAAACAGGGAAATGCCCAAAGCATTTCATGGTTTCCCCATCACACGCAGGGGTGGCAGCTGACAGGGCCTTTTGCCTGCCTGCAGAGAGCTGGGGCAGCGCTCCGCTCCCTGCCTGCACCAGCGAGGCTCCCACAGGAGCTGGCTTTCACATCCTGGGCTGCATCAACAGCAGGTGAGCAGTAGGTCATGGGGGTGATCCTGCCCCTCTGCTCTGCTCTGGTGAGACCCCTCTTGCAGCACTGTGTGCAGTTCTGGTGTCCCCAACATAAAAAGGACATGGAACTGTTGGAACAAGTCCAGAGGAGGCCACGAGGATGATGAGGGACTGAAGCACCTCCCGTATGGAGACACACTGAGAACACTGGGGCTGCTCAGCCTGGAGAAGAGGCGGCTGCGGGGAGGCCTCAGAGCAGCTTCCAGCATCTGAAGGGGGCTACAAGGATGCCGGGGAGGGACTCTTCGTTAGGGACTGCAGTGACAGGACAAGGGGTTCATGTAAACGGCGAGGAGAAGCAGACAGGCCAACCCAATATGGGTGATAAGCAAACTTCTACTTTATTTGTGACGCAGTTCACATATAGGAGTGGTATTCAGCCACTCCTCCTTGGCACAACAGTATTGGTCAGCCCCACACAGCTTCCTCCACATTCTCCTCCCATGTCCGGTTCCCGGTTACCTGTGGGGGCCACCCCCTGCCTTGCTCGCACAGTCCTCCAGGGCTCTATGGTCCTGCTCTTAGAGTCATTCTGCAACAGGTTCAAACTGAAACAGGGGAAGTTCAGGTTAGAAACAAGGCAGAAGCTCTTCCCTGTGAGGGTGCTGAGGCGCTGGCACAGGGTGCCCAGAGAAGCTGTGGCTGCCCCATCCCTGGCAGTGTTCGAGGGCAGGTTGGACACAGGGGCTTGGAGCAAGCTGCTCTGGTGGAAGGTGTCCCTGCCCGTGGCAGGGGGTGGAGCTGGGTGAGCTTTAAGGTCCCTTCAACACAAACCAGGCTGGGGTTCTGTGGTTCCCCCAACAAAAGCAATTGGCTCCTGAGGCCCCGGGGCCGCCTCGGGCCGGGGACAAGCCCCGCGGGGTGCCCGCACCATGGCAACGCACGGCGCGTCACGTAGGCCCCGCTCTACCGCTTCCGGTTACCCTCTCACCCCAAGATGGCGGCGCCCGTGGGACCCGTGAAGTTTTGGAAGCCGGGTGAGGGGCTGAGTGGGGCTCTGCGGGCGGGTCCCCCCCGGCCTGAGCCGAGGCCGCAGCGCTGCCCCCCGCGGCTTCTGGGGGTCGCACGGCGTTTAGGCCCCGAGGGCAGCGGATAACCGTGCTGCTTCTCTGCCGCCGGGGCTGCAGAGCGGCGGGGTCTGTGTGGCTCCAGCCCGGCGTTGCCCTTTAGCGGGGGTGGCGGGGTGCAGCCCCTCTTCAGCCTGGGGGGGTGATGGTTCGGTGGGGTCGCTGCCCCTCGCGGGTTCCGGGAAGTGCACAGGGGAACCTCAGGAAGTTAAAGGCAGGTGCGAGGTCCTGGGAGTTGCCACAGGCAGGGAGAGCCCCTCAGCAGGAAGGAGCTCACGGAGCCCTGTGGGCCGTGAGCTGAGTGCGGGCCTTTGGTGCTCGCTGACAGCAGAGAAGGTGGCCTGCATCCCAGGCTGGGTGAGGAAAAGCGTTGCTGTTGGGCTGAGGGAGGTGATCCCTCCCTTCAGCACTGGGTGATCTGTGAGCTCCCCAGCACCACGACGGGGACTTACTGAAGGAGGTCCACTAAGTGAAGGGCCGTGAGTGTGGTTGAGAATTTGGAGCATGTGATGTGACGGGGGATGCTCAGAGAGCTGGGACTGTGCAGCTTGTAGGGGTCTCAGGAGGATCCTTTCAATGTATGTAAGTACCTTGTAGGGGAGGGTAAAGAAGATGGAGCCAGACTCTTCTTGGTAGTGCCTACAGACAGTACCAGAGGCAGTGGGCACAAGCTGAAATGTGATAAAGTCAGCTTAAACACAAGAAAACCCTTTTCTGCTCTGTGGGTGGTCAGGCTGTGGAACAAGCAGTCAGTCAGGTTGTGGGGTCTCCATCCAGCTGAGGACCTGAGCAACCCCTGTAAGTGACTCTGTGGTAAGCAGTGTTCATCTAGAAGTCCTCCAGAGCTCCCTGTGAGACTCGGCTGTGCTGTGGCTCAGTGATGGTTCCCCTGTGGTTTGGGCAGTTCGGTACCTTCCCATTTGCTTGCCCCAAGGGGAGCTTCGTGGGTGTGAGTTTGGCAGTTTTAAAACGTTGCCCACTGTGTTGTGGTATGCTGTGACTTGCAAAGGTATTTCATAGGCAAGGTTAGTTTAGCAAAGAGCTTCTTAATCATTTGAATATCATAGTAATATGTTGTAGATACAACATGTATATGTATGCAACATGATGGCAATAGTGTATTAAAAAAAAACCTAGAAAATGCTGTGAAAGAAAATTGTTACGTGATGAGCAGCAATGTTCATTAATTCTGCTGATTTGTCAAGATCCAGATAGTCAAGTCCCTGATTCTGAACTTTTCCATCTGTAAGCTACTAGGAAGTAAATTAACTATCCCAGCGGAAACCAGGGTGCCTGGGGAGTGTATAGTTCCTGGAATCATTGCTAATCACTCTTCTAATTCAATCAGTTTGCTATAAAACTTGAATAAAGACTAACTGTTTTTAAGCAGTGGGAGAAATAGGAAAAGCCCAAACAAGCAAATCCTGCAAAACATGGGAATTTTCTCTTGCCCTCATACCTTCCCAGTTGAATCTGTAGCTAGAGATGTGGTACATTCTCTTACTGAGTTGAGGGTTTGTTTCTAGTTAATTTGCATGATTCAGCATTTTTGATTGTCAGTAGTTTTATGGTAACCTGCCGCAGGAATAAATTAAGTTTAATTTACTGAGGTAAATTCAGATGTGAAACAACTGGTGTATCTCGTAAGCATGCAAGGTTGAATGTTTATATGGTTGTTATTAGTTAAGGGAAGTTCTGTTACCTGTTTGAATGGGTGGCTTAAAATTCATGGATATACTTCTGGGAAGGGTATTGAAGTTGTATCTGAACTGTTGCACAGAAAAAGAAAGTTCCCAAGATCTTGCTGTATATTTTTCCTATGTAGTTTTCCCCTGAATTATCATCCTTTTAAATTCCAAATACTTATTCACATTAGATTTCTATTTAACCAGCAGAAGACACAGATTTCATTTGAAAGCATTTGTTTACTGTAGTTGATATTTTGACTATTTTAATAGGAAAGTTAGTCTTTTGATATATGCTGCTACCCATTATTCCTACTCATCAGGAATATATTATTTTGGTTGTACTGTGGTACACAGAAGTGTGTTCTTCCAGTTAAAACTGACTTATGTTATCTAGGCACGGAAGGTCCTGGTGTCAGTGTCTCAGAGGAGAGACAGAATCCTGCTGAGAGCAGTAGCATATCTGTCATCTATAATCCTTATGCTTCCCTTTCTATTGAACAACAAAGACAAAAGCTGCCTATTTTTAAGGTAAAGAAGTTCTTTTGGGTATATTAGATCTGTTGTATGATGTTTGTCTCTTATGCCTTTTTTTGAAAGAGCAATATAGAATCACTTTACAACATAAAGTAAAAATTTTATTACCTTGATCTCTTTATTTATTGGAATTGATTGTCCTGGTTGACAGCTGTAAAACTGTCAGTAACAGGTTGTGTTATTTACTATATGTTCTATATGTCACTTATGGATTTCTAAAGGGCTGTTTAGCTTTTGGCAGTAAATCCATGTAAAATGAATTTACTGTCTCTGCCTGATATGTAAGTGTTGTCATTAATTAGTCTCTTATTTTTGTACACGTCTGGTTTTGATACTTGAATGTCATCTTCTGTTTCAGTTAAGAAATCACATTCTGTATCTAGTGGAGAACTATCAAACTCTGGTGCTTGTTGGGGAAACAGGCTGTGGGAAATCAACCCAGATTCCACAAGTAAGTGTCTGTTTAACTTGGTGAAATCAGGTACTCCCTTGGGGTATTTTACATGAAATGTTAAACCAGCAACCCGGATCTGTACTGTGAGAAGGGAAGTCCCCTGTGCTTGTGTGTGCGACCGAGAGGAGAGAAATAGAAGCAGCTGGTATGTCTGTAATGTAAAACCTCCCTCCTCTACAGGAAAGGACCGGAGACAACACGTAGTTTATTCTGGTACAAATAGTAGTTACTGTGCAGCAGTAGGTGTTGATAATCAGTAATGTTTAAAATTTTGCTGAAAATATGTTTTTAAGTAGGGAAATAAAGTACACTTTTTTTAGGAGCTTTCCTGTTGGAAATTTTTGGAATGTTGTATTTTTCACGGGTTTGCAAAATTTTCTCATTTGTGAAGGGAATGTAGAAAGTCTGAGAATGTTTTGAAGTTGGTTCTTGAGTAACTTGGAAAATTGCAGACCAGTGATGAATGTCATCTGCATCAGGGCTTGTGCTGCTTAGCTTTTTTTCTTCAAGGGGTAATAAAATAAAGAAGAGAAAAATTAAGAAGTTAAAAAATACTTAAAACTGAAAGAACTGCTCGTAGGTGCTTTCTGATAGTATGTGTTTAGGAGAGACTGTATTATGCTGTATTACTTGTAATGGTGAGATTAATAAACGCACAAAATCTCTTAAGTAACTGTTTTGTCTGAGGATGTGCATCAGATGGTGTCACAACCGGCAAAAAGCACAGTGTGGAGAACTAACACCTCACTGCAGTCACAGCATGACCAGTTCATTTCTTGCACTCAATATTTGTTTGCAGTACCTAGCAGAAGCTGGCTGGGCAGCTGAAGGAAGAGTTGTTGGAGTGACGCAGCCTCGTCGGGTTGCTGCTGTTTCAGTGAGTTTCTCCATGTCCTTATTTTTCCAGTTCAATGTCATTATAACTTCCAGTTTATTAGCAGGAATGGTGTTGGCATGTGCTCCTGAATGAGCAGATATTTCCTTCCTCACGGAATTGCTGGTACTATATGCTGAATTCAACTAGATTAGTAGGTCTTGCCAAAAATTCCAAGTCCAGAATTGCAGGTGTAGAAGCTTTGGAAAAAAAAAAATTGGGTGGAATCGGCAGAACTGGGTATGAAAGTTAGACCTGTGCAGGGCTGTGATTGATTCTGGACAAGAACTGTGCGTGAACCTTAACTTTTTCACAAAGTAAAGTAGTGATGGTAAATCTGTGTACAGTAACATAGCTGTTGAAAGAAAGAGGAGGTTGTGTACCTCTTTCTAGCAATTCACACCAAAGCTTTTTGAATCTCTTTTCTGTATTATTTTTTTGTTGTAGGTTTTAATTTGCATGTTTGTTTTGGTTTGTTTTTTGCCTTGTAAGAATGTCATGGAAAAGAAACAAGTTTGTTGTGAGAAGTCTTTTACTGTATAAATATATATATATCTTTTCCTATATAGACATATATACATAGGAGGTCTGAGAAAGCATAATGTCAGCTAGATGTACTACAAGAAGAAGAAGAGGGGATGCCAAAGGAAACAAATTGTGCTCTCTGGTAATAAAGAATAAGTATAAAAAAAGTCTGTATGGAAAACATCCAGTACTCCTTGTTTTCATAACTGCTGCCAAACACTGACTCGGTGGGCTGAAGTTTCTGCTGCAGCGTTCCTTTTACAGAAAACTGTGGTGCAGTTTTGTAAATCTCATTTTGCTTGTTCTTTATAATGTATTAAAGTGTACCTGCAGCAAATCAGCTTATGCCTCCCATGAAAATGTAGTAGACTGAGCTGCTGTGCAGCTTGCCCTTTCATCTCATCCGGTATTCTCTGATTGTATCCAACATGGAGAGGGAAACAGCAGTGATCTGCATCTTGTGCTTTGGACAGTCTGCCTGCAGCGTCCTCCCTTTTCTCCTTCACAGAACATCCAGCTGACACTGCATAGTTCTACAGGGGATGTTGTGTATGCTGCAATGTTTTCTCACAACAAACTTGGTTCTCATTTCTTTTTCATGTCTTAATACATTATTTTTAAGCCTAAAATAAAACGATTACTTAAGCAGGGCTTAATAGATAGACACAGTAGGATTTTCCTTTGCAATGCTGTTGCAAACTGTGTGGACTGTATGGCTTTTACAGGGAGATGAGAGATATAGTTGATGATTGCTTTGTCTTGAATTGAAAGTGATCTTTTATTTTAAGAGGTGTGCTAATCTGCTTTCTCATCTAGAGTATGGGGCGGGGGGGGGGGGGAGTGTCAGAAGTAAAGGCAAGTTGTTGCAGAGGCATAAGGCACTGTTTAGAAATTCCTGAACTTCTGCTTCGATTACCCAGGCTGATAATTATCCTGAACGCTTGGGCTGAAAGTGGCCGAGTGATAAGATACTAAGTGAAATCATGAATTCACTGCCTGTGGGTATGGTTTATAATGTCACTCAAATGACTGAAAGTAGCTTGCCCTTGGAATTCTACTAGGACTAATGTATGTATTGTGGGGTTTTATTGTGCTGTTAGGTATTAAATGTCCTTGTAGCTTGCTGAAACCATGGCCTGATAATATCTAATAATCCGTAGAATAAGTCTAAATAACTCAAGATTTTTAGCTAAAGGAGCTATTGGCTTAAAACTGGTCCAGGGTAGTACTGTTGCTTGTTTTAATTATTCTGCCAGTTTGTCATCTTTTCTGTCATGTTTTCTGCATAGAAGGTTCTGTATTATCTTTATACAGTACAGTAGCATCTTTATTCAAAAAAACCCAAAACAAAACTAAAAGGAAGTCTGAGTAAGTTCAGGGACAGATCAGCTTACCTGGTAACTTCTTTCTGTGTGCCAAATCCCTGCATTCATTCCCTTTTTGCATACCGACTGTTCTTAAACTGCACTCCCACAACTGCTTGCGAGGAGGTCCTTTCTCAGCATTGTGACTGGTGGAGTAACTGCCTTTGTAGGTCTGTCAGAGTGCTTATCACAGAAAGGTATCTCCATGGCTTTCCTGATTAGAAGCAGCTTAAAACATTTACTAAGTTACACTAAAATATTTAAAAGCATTTACCAGTTGTATGTTCAGTATGCACTGTTTATGTCAAACAGAATTTTTTGTTAGAATGAGAACAAATAATTGTTTGGAAGCATCAGCTCTATTTCCTGTTTTGATGCCAATTCTCTACAAAAATAATGATACAGTGAAGAAATGTGCTGTGAGCTGTCTATTGTTTGTAAAAATCTTTTTTTTTCTCAGATTGCAAGCAGAGTTGCTGATGAAAGAGGTGCAGTGCTGGGGCATGAAGTTGGATATTGTATTCGGTTTGATGACTGCACGGATCCACAAGCTACAAGAATTAAGGTGAAATATGAACAGCGTGTGGTTACTCTGAAAGGGTTAGCTGAAACTCTCCAAGTACTTTTACAAAATTAATGAGAACCTTATGATGCCCAGTAAAGTCAGCTGATCGAGCTAGCCTAGCTAGAGCCACAGCCGGCACGCTTCAGCGACCGCGAGGGTCAACGGAGATTAGGAAAATCAGAGAGGAGAGCGCAGAGACATCGCGATTCCCGACATCTTCCGATCCCCGAAGCCACAGCAGCCCTTGCGAGAGAGAGGCTCACGTGGCGGGGGCGTTCCCACGGTGACGGTGACCACTCCCTGCTGCTTGCCTTGAAAAAGCCTCAGAGAGGGCAGCGACCGGTCGCTGCCCGCCGGGTGCAGGGAGGAACAAGCTGGTCGTGTTGCTGGTGTCCCAGGCTGCGGACCAATATGGTCGCCTCCAGAAAGCGAGCTTGCAGTAAGGTGACTGCAGCAACTCAGACGGAGACCCCGTCCCAGACCGTGGCTGTTCAGGTCTCTGGATGCAGGGAGTGCCAGAGCCTGCTGCTGCCGGGGGAGGGAGGACAGCATTCCACCTGCGTGAGGTGTGAGCAGGTAGAAGATCTGCTTAGCCTGGTGGCAAGACTTAAGGAGGAGGTTGAAACGCTGAGGACTATCAGGGAGTGTGAAAGGGAGATCGACTGGTGGAGTAACTCCCTGGCGTGCCAGTTGGAACGGTTCCAGGGAGATACCCCCCAAAAGGGGAAGGACCCCCTGCCCTCTCACACAGAGGGGGATGGCCCGAGACAGCCCCTGCCCTGTAGCTGTTGCGCAGAGGTAGGGGACCAAAAAGACGACGAGGGTTGGAAGCGAGTTCCAGTTCGACGTCGTGGGAAACCCTCCCCCCTTCCTGCCCTGCTTCCCCAGGTGTCCCTCCGTAATAGGTTCGAGGCCCTGGATCTTGAAGGAGAGGTAGGTGAGAATGTGGTGCAAGGCCAGCCCACAAGGCCGCATAGGAAAAGGGGGTCGACTTTGCACCTCAAGACTGCCTCTGTTAAGAAAGAAAGAAGGGTCATTGTAGTAGGGGATTCCCTTCTGAGAGGAACAGAGGGCCCGATATGCAGAGTTGACCCTCATCATAGGGAAGTGTGTAGTCTGCCTGGAGCCCGGATCAGGGATATCACCAGGGCGCTCCCCAACCTGGTGCACCCGACAGACTACTACCCGCTGCTGGTCTTCCAGACAGGTGGGGAAGAAGCTGCTTCCCGCAGTCTGAGGGGGATGAAGAAAGACTACAGGGCCTTGGGGCGGATGGTGAAAGAGTCTGGGGCTCAAGTGATCTTCTCCTCACTCCTTCCATCTTCCACTGATGATGTGGAAGGAATGGGAAGATTCAGTTCATGAACAATTGGCTACGAGACTGGTGCTGCAGTCAGGGCTTTGGATTCTTTGATAACAGCTGGTTTTATAGGGCACCAGTCTGGACAATGTCAAGTGAGAAAGGTTTGTCTCACAGAGGCAAAAGGATGCTGGGGCACGAATTAGCAGGGCTCATTTGGAGAGCTTTAAACTAGATTCGAAGGGGGATGGGGTTGTTGCTGGGCTTGCCCCAATGGAGCAGCGCTCCAGAATTAATGAAGACTGGGAGGCCTCCTATAATCCTCGGGTGAAATCGGTGTGCTCAGCTCGCTCCCTGACATGTCTGTACACCAATGCGCGCAGCATGGGAAATAAGCAGGAGGAGTTGGAAACCTGTGTTAAGTCAGGAGACTGTGATCTGGTGGCAATTACAGAGACGTGGTGGGACAGCTCACATGACTGGAATATAGTCATGGAGGGCTATGTCCTCTTCAGGAAAGACAGGCCAGCCAGGAGGGGTGGTGGGGTTGCTCTTTATGTGCGGGAGCAACTACAATGCACCGAGTTCTGTCCGGGGACAGATGACGAGCGAGTTGAGAGTCTGTGGGTGAGAATGAAGGGGCAGGCTGGCAGGGGGGATACTGTTGCGGGTGTCTCTTACAGACCACCGGATCAGGGTGAGGAAGTTGACGAGGCCTTCTACAGGCAGCTGAGAGCGGCCTCACAGCCACAGGCCGTGGTCGTCGTGGGGGATTTTAACTTCCCTGATGTTTGCTGGAAGGACCACTCGGCAACCCAGCCACAGTCCAGGAGGTTCCTCCAGTGTGTGGATGATAACTTCCTCCTGCAAATGGTGGATGAGCCGACCAGGAGAGAAGCGCTGCTGGATCTCATCCTCACTAACAAGGAGGATCTGGTCGAAGCAGTAAGGGTTGAGAGCTGCCTTGGTTGCAGCGACCACGAGATGGTGAAGTTCAGGATCTTGTGTGGTAGGACCAGTAGAATAGGAAGTAGAATTGCAACCCTGGACTTCAGCAGGGCAAACTTTGGCCTTTTCAAGCAATTGCTAGGGGAAATCCCATGGGCAAGGCTGCTTGAAGGAAAAGGGGCCCAAGATAGTTGGTTGATAGTCAAGGACTGCTTTTTCCGAGCTCAAGATCGGAGCATCCCGACACGTAGGAAGTCAAGGAAGAGGGCCAAGAGACCTGCGTGGCTAAACTGGGAATTGCTGGATATGCTCAAGTGGAAGAGGAGAGTTTACAGGTCATGGAAGGAGGGGCTGGCCACTTGGGAGGAATATAAGGCTGCTGCTAGGGGATGTAGGAAGGCAGCTAGGAGGAGTAAGGCATCCTTAGAATTAAACCTGGCAAGAAGGGTCAAGGACAGCAAAAAGAGCTTTTTCAAGTACATGGCAGACAAAACTAACACCGGAGGCAATGTAGGCCCACTGATGAACGGGATGGGTGCCCTGGTGACAGAAGATGCAGAGATGGCAGAGTTACTGAATGCCTTCTTTGTCTATTCTGCTGCGGGCAGTCCTGAAGAGCCCTGTACCCCTGAGACCTTAGATGAAGTCAGGTCGACGGAACGGTTTGCCTTAGTCGATGAGGAATGGGTTAGAGATCAGTTGAGCAATCTGGACGTCCATAAACCCATGGGTCCGGATGGGATGCACCCGCGGGTGCTGAGGGAACTGGCGGAAGTCATTGCTAGACCACTCGCCATCATCTTTACCAAGTCTTGGGAAACGGGAGAGGTGCCTGAGGACTGGAGGAAGGCAAATGTCACTGCAGTCTTCAAAAAGGGCAAGAAGGAGGACCCGGGTAACTATAGACCGGTCAGCCTCACCTCCATCCCTGGGAAAGTGATGGAACACCTTGTCCTTGGTGCCATCTTAAGGCATATCAAGGATAAGAGGGTTATGAGGGGCAGTCAACATGGCTTCACCAGGGGGAAATCAGGTTTGACCAATCTCTTAGCCTTTTATGAGGAAATAACATGATGGATGGATGATGGCAGAGCGGTGGATGTGGTCTACCTTGACTTCAGCAAAGCATTTGACACAGTCTCCCACAGCATCCTCACAGCTAAATTGAGGAAGTGTGGTCTGGGTGATCAGGTAGTGAGTTGGACTGTGAACTGGCTGAAGGAGAGAAGCCAGAGAGTTGTAGTCTATGGGGCGGAGTCTAGTTGGAGGCCTGTAACTAGTGGAGTGCCTCAAGGGTCAGTACTGGGACCAGTATTATTTAATATATTCATCAACGATTTAGATGAGGGAATTGAGTGTACTATCAGCAAGTTTGCTGATGACACTAAGCTGGGAGGAGTGGCTGACACGCCAGAAGGCTGTGCTGGCATCCAGCGAGACCTGGACAGGCTGGAGAGTTGGGCAGGGAATAACTGGATGAAATATAACAAGGGAAGGTGTAGAGTCCTGCATCTGGGCAGGAACAACCCCAGGTTCCAGTATAGGTTGGGGAACGACCTGTTAGAGGGCAGTGTAGGGGAGAGGGACCTGGGGGTCCTAGCGGACGACAGGATGACCATGAGCCAACACTGTGCCCTTGTGGCCCAGAAGGCCAATGGCATCCTGGGGTGTATTAGAAGGGGGGTGGTTAGTAGGTCGAGAGAGGTCCTCCTTCCCCTCTACTCTGCCCTGGTGAGACCGCATCTGGAATATTGTGTCCAGTTCTGGGCCCCTCAGTTCAAGAAGGACAGGGAGCTGCTGGAGAGAGTCCAGCGCAGGGCAACGAAGATGATTAAGGGAGTGGAGCATCTCCCTTATGAGGAAAGACTGAGGGAGCTGGGTCTCTATAGTTTGGAGAAGAGGAGACTGAGGGGTGGCCTTATTAGTGTCTATAAATATATAAAGGGGGAATGTCATGAGGATGGAGGCAGGCTCTACTCAGTGGCAAACAATGATAAGACAAGGGGTAATGGGTACAAACTGGAACACAAGAGGTTCCACTTAAACTTGAGAAGGAACTTCTTCTCAGTGAGGGTGACGGAACACTGGAACAGGCTGCCCAGGGAGGTTGTGGAGTCTCCTTCCCTGGAGACTTTCAAAGCCCGCCTGGACACATGCCTGTGTAACATTATCTAGGTGTTCCTGCTCTGGCAGGGGGATTGGACTAGATGATCTTTTGAGGTCCCTTCCAATCTCTAGCATACTGTGATACTGTGATACTGTGATTGCAGTTTTCCAGGTGGGTATCCCGAAAGTGTGCTTGGAAAGGCTGTGGCTATCCAAACCTTACTAAAGTGTGTACGTGTTCTTTTCTGCTAGACTGGCAGCCACACTGTGAAATTAAAGGGTATTTTCAAGGGAGATGTGACCAGATATTGGTACGGTGCTGGTGTGACCTGATGCGTCACACAAAGTCATAGGGAAAGGCTGCAGTGAATCACAGCTGAAGTATCCTTGCCACCCTAAAAATAGATTTTGGTTAAAAGCACAGATAAAACATGAGATGAGTAGGCTGACTGAGTGCAATGTGATGTGGATTCAATAGTAAGTTTTGCAGCTGTTCTTCAGTACTGTGAGCAATATTAATGTTGCTTGTGTTGGTACAGATGAGAGTCTGCTTATGCTGGAACAGCAATGATGATGAGTGAGACAGTTTAGTTAGATTTTTGATTACTGAGGCTAGTAGCCCTTTTAAAAGCGGAAGAACTGGAGATGCTTGTTCATTAAATGCAGCTGAAATCTTCAGAGTTTTTTTTGGGATTTGGGTTTAGTTTTTTGTTTTTTGATTGTGATGATTAATCATTTGGAGTTGGAAATCTGGAGGTTTTCACCTTGCACACCAGTTCTTGCCTAGGTCAAGGCCACATTTGGAATCCCAGATCAAACTATTGATGACTACATAAAGTTGGTTGGGTTTCCATGGGCTAGTAGGAAGTATTAAATTTATATGTTGCATTTTGTTGACATGTGAAGGTTTGTGTACTGGTCAGATATTACGTGGTCTACTTTGAGAGGGTCAGCATTGCATTGACATGCGGGATGTTACTGGTAGAGCTGATTTAGCTATGTTACAGACAACAGTGAAGAAACTTCTATTGCCACATTCCAGTGCTGCCAACCTGTTATTTTATTTTTTAATATAAAAATAGCTTAAATACTGATTAGAAACCAGTCAGTCTGATCACCTCTGGGTTAGCATTCAGAAATACAGACAGCAGGAAGGAAACAGAGACAGGACACCTGACCCAAACTAACCAAAGGGGTATTCCATGCCACAGCACATCATGCCTGGTATAGAAACTGGGGGGAGTCACCCGCAAGGCCTGGGTATCAGTTGCTGGGTGCTGAGCAATTGTATTCGGCATCACTTGTGTTTACTGTTTTTTTTTTTTTTCCTTTCCTCTTTTAGTTTCATATTCTCTCCCCTTGTTTTTTCTCTTACCACTATTTTTATTAGCGGTAATAGTAGTATTTTTGCATTATAGTTTAGTTACTGGTCTGTTCTTATCTCAACCTGTGGGGTTTACATTCTTTGGATTCTCCTCCCCATCCCTCAGGAGTGGGGAGGGAACAAGAGGGGAAGTGAGTGCATGGCTGGGTGGTTCTGAGGTACCAGCTGGGCTTCAACCACAACGGTAATCTATAAAAATCATGTGGCTAATTCAGACTAGTTGGTGGATTTTGTTTAAATTTTAATTTGTATTCACTTTTAGTTTCTAACTGATGGTATGCTGGTGAGGGAGATGATGGCTGATCCTTTATTAACAAGATATAGGTAAGGAACCGTGGAATGAATGCTTGCTGAATTGTAATTTGATAAATAAGTGATTTTTTTTTTTTTTTTTTTTTTTTTTTTTTTAGGCTGAGGTGTAGTTATTATATATTAAATACCAAAAGATCTGAAAATTACTTTAGGAGTTTGACTACTTGCTGTTGTAAAGACAAAGAAAATCAGTTGATCATTGCAACACCAAACTCGGCAAGATTTGCTGCTGTGGTTTTGGAACAAAAGCTAAGTGGGTTTTAGAAGAACTGTTTAATTTACTAGTTTTAAATTAACTTTCTTTCTGATGCCAATCAAATTAAAAATAATCACAACAAAAGCAGGCATATTCCAGTATGCAGACAAGCCGTGCAGTGCAGTAAAGCCAGACCCTTTTTTTCTACTCTTTTCCAAAAGCTAGCATGAATAAAGAAGAGTGTGTATGGGCCACGTTATCTACATTTTTCTCCCTACCTTGTTTTGTGATTTTTTTTATTTTTATTTTTTTAACTTTCACAGTTTTCTAAGTGGATGTGCACAGTAATAGTCCAGTAGCAGACTTAAAATAATGATATTTCTGGAAGATGGGAAGACACTGATTCTAGTGTCAATCGTCAAGCCATTTTTGAAATCTTAATCTTTCTGCTTTGTTCACAGTGTCCTCATGCTGGATGAAGCCCATGAAAGGACTCTTTATACAGATATTGCCATTGGCTTACTGAGAAAGGTTATTTATTTTAATGTTCTCTGTAATCATTTTCATTTTCATCCTTTTTGTTAAACCTCTGATCCTGATGGCTGATTAGTGAATCCATTTGAGAGAGGGTGATTTCTGATTCCTTATTATCCTACAGCCTGTTGTACATGCCCAACTATTTACTGTAGACATCTGTCACTCAGGATCCTCGTGTTTCCTCCCCCCAGTGCTGAAATGTCTCCTTATTAGCAAAAAGGTGTTCTTCATTCTGTTGCTGCTGATCATGTGAAGTGATCTCATAGGGGGTTATTGTTGACTTTCAGCCTGGTGAAGATCTGACTCCTACCAGAAATTAAGAGTAAACAATAATGATTACAGGCTGAATGCCCTTAAAATGAATATATAAACCTCCAGCCATTAGGCTGTTAGATCTGTGGAGTGATGAGTGTGCTTCAGTTCCTGAGCTGTTTTGTATTGTCAAAGTATTTTTAAAGAGCAGTTATTGGTAATCTTGGTTGTAGCCTTATATCTCAGAAAACAGTTTTTACTCTGGGTGTTCTTGGTCTCTATCCTAGATTCAGAAGAAGCGTGGGGATCTTCGACTGATTGTGGCTTCAGCCACCTTGGATGCAGAGGTATAGCTCCAGTGTGGTTTGAAATAAATTGACCTTAAGTGGAAACTCCACTTATATATATATATATATATATATATATATATATATATATGTATATGAATATATATATGTGTATATATATATATTCTCTGTGGGGCTTGCTTCTTGTGAAACATTACTGCTGTTTGAGTGGCAAAGAAGAGAGGAAAGAATGCAGGAAAAAGTCTGCAGTAGTTAGGTTGCTGCATTTGGTTTTCATTTTGTATTAGCAAACTTTTTTTTTGGAAATGAATATAAATATGAATCTGCTTCTCATATACTGATGTCTGTTTTTCTTCCCCCTCCTTCCCCCACTCCTTCCAGCCCCCCATTGGTATTGTTGCATGAAAAGATGTTCCCTTGGCTTAATCTAGTCTAGTAAGAGACATTGGTTTATCTCTGTTTTGCTGATGGCAGTAATTTGAGACAACCACAGACCAGGAAAAATGAGTGATAAATGAGTAGATTCAATTGCAGTGAGATCCTACTAGTTCCCTTGATTGACTTGTGGCCTGTGGAAACTTATGTAACTTACTAAAAATGTTAATTTAATTTTGAGTAGGAACAGAAAACATGCTCTTCTAGATCAGAGAAGTGTTTCATCCAGCCCAGTCTTCTTTCTGGAGCAGCAGCAGCAGTAGGACATGCTGGTTAGGGAGTGTGGGAGCCCATGCAGCTGCTGTGGGTCTGTTCTCTGTGAGCTGCCTCAGCACCTGCAGTGGTTGCAATAGGGACATTACACAGTGCATTCCTGCAATTTCCTTCTAGTATGTGTTTATGGGCCTGCTGTTTGTTAATCTGTCTTCAGATCTGTAAGTCTTCAGGACATCATGTGAGAGCAATTTTCAGGAGTTTGCCACCTGCTGTGTAATGCAGTACTTTATTTAATTTCTTCCTTTTCTGCTCGTTTCATCAAGGACCTCCTGGTTCTGTTAGTATGGGATTCGCATTTTTTTTTTTAACACAACAATAACCAGCACCAGTTTTACATTTACTTACTTTGTCACCTTTGATTCTGTGCACCTCAGCTGTGTGGGTTTTCAAACTGCTGCTCCCCAGGCAGAGCCCCAGCCTTTTCAGTCTCTCATAAGGCAGCTGCTCCATTTCCTTTATTGTGTTCTTTGCGTTTCTCTGTACTTTTCCTAACTCCCCTGTGTCCTTCATGAGATGCGATGTTGAGAGCTTGTGTGCAGCACTGAAAGTGTGGGTGTACTGAGATTTCCTTTAGTGGCAAATATCATATGCCATAAATTTTTGATTGTAAGCTCTGGTAGCACTTGCACTGCTGTGTATTCTGTACATTAGATAATGCTACAGTACTGTGCCTTTGCAAAATTTTAACTGCCAAAAATAGCATGTTTCAAATAGCTTACAGGTAATGTAAAAATAATAACAAAATGGTTAGTATGACTATATTAACGTTTGTTTAAATACAGAAAGTTTATGGTATCTCTATAATGGTCATGAAAGTCAAGATCGATTATTTGGGTTCCTAACTGTCATTCTTTTGCTATTGCACATTTAAAATACTTTGTGGCAATAAAACTGAATTTATGAAGGTGTCTTGCAATGCAGAAGACAAAAACCTAAATTAGCCTATGCTTTTACCAAGTGAGATGGTGGCGTTCAGTAAGAGCTGTAAAATATACTTGCTCATCCAGAAATGGAGAATATGCAAGCCCTACCCAAAACTTTGAGGACCAATCAAGTTCTTCTTAGCTTTGACTTTGCTACTGTTATAGATCCATTATGAAGTTTATATATCTGCTTTCTCCAGCAGTCATCAGTTCTTCTAAGTAACTTTATTACCTCTTTTTGATCTTTGCTTCTCAAAAACAATAAACATGCAAGACTCTGTGTGTGTCAAGTGCCTTATCCCGGACAGGAGAGAAGGCAACAAACCCTAAATCTAAAATTTTTAAATTGACACTGTCAAATTTATGAATAAAACACCCAAATTGCAGTAATTGAACTTCTTCATGTCTTGAGGTTTCTCCCTTCATTCTTTGAAATATCAAACTGAAAGTATTTCTTTTTATTTTAATGTAGAAATTCAAGAATTTCTTTAATCAAAATGATACTGGTGACCCCAGCAAAGATACCAGCGTGATACTTACTGTGGAAGGGAGAACGTTTCCAGTGGACATCTTTTACATACAGAGGTGTGTTTGATCTTGTCAATGGTGCTTAGGATGGTATGCAACTGTGGTATCATTTGATCTATGTTAGAGCTTAGATGTTCCCAGAAGGTGTAACCTTCAATCTGGCAAACATTTGGATATAACTTATAGCAGCTGACATGTTTTTAGGCTTGCTGTAGTGGAAAGGAAACAAATTAATTGCTTATTCCCAAGGATTCATCATGAGCTAAATGTGGTATGGCTGTTGTGTAGTTTCCAAAAGCTAGCTTGCTTTTTGTTCCTTATGGAAATGAGGAGGCTCTACCTGTTTTTCTGCTAATGTCTCTCCTATTTTCTCCTTGTAGTCCTGTTCCAGATTATGTAAAATCAACTGTGGAAACTGCAATGAAAATTCACCAGATGGAGAATGATGGTGATATACTGGCATTTTTAACTGGGCAGGTACAGACATAAGCAATATTTTTGCGTTACAACACTGAATTGTTGACTTTGCAAAGTGCCCTGAGTCTCCTGCTTTCCTTAGCTGTGCTTCTTTTAGTCACATTAAAGATGACAGACGTTTTTACATTGATGGGAGCTGAATTAGGCCAGTCACAAAGACTCGTAGAAAATGTATGGCCTGAATTTGTCAAAGCTAGTGATGAACAGTTTTTCCCATTTAATACTTTCAGCCTTGTTAATAAATGGAATAGTGTGGGGGGTTTTGGTGCTAGTCACACCTGCAAAGTTGTTAAATTGACAGTGAGTCATTGCTAATAGTTAAGGCAAATGGAATTTACATTTGTTGGGCTTAACATCATTAACATGACAGACAAACAAATTTCTGTGAGATACAAATTTACTTGTCTTTTCCTCTCTGTTTATGCCTGTCAGCTCACTTTGCAGCTGAGGAGTAGCATATCATTTTTCCAGTAAAGAGCTACCTTGAAGAGCTTCAACAACATCTTGCATATTTTCAAAAAAAAAAATTCTTCGTCTTCACTATTGATGTAATTTTTAGAAGAATGAATTGGGTATCTCAGGAGGCAATGTCTGATCCTTTGTTGTCTGTGTTTACCAGTGAGATGCCACAGTTGATCTATGAGATTAAGTGTGAGGTTGAGCAATAGGTGCTAATGAAGTTACTGTTTCATTCCTGATCAAGACCCACAGCATTCTGCACTGTCAAAATAGATTGGCCTCCCATTTTGCTCTCACAAGTTGTGATGGAGGAAAATATGCCTGCTTCCTCCTGAGCTTTGTTCAGTCCTTTCCTGGTGATTTTGCTTATGTATTTGTGATGTGACATTGTCTCAAATAAGAATGAACAAAAATATTAATGTGAACACATATTTATTATGAATAGCAATTTATGTAAGAATATTACAAAATTGAGCTAGTCAGAAGATCCCAGGATTTGAACAATTTGAACTATGGTATTTTGGTGCATTTTTTTTATGTAGGTGACAGCTGTGTGGTATGAAAGTGAAACCTCTCACATTCTGTCCCCTGTCATGCTCTGGCTCTAGGAGGAAGTGGAGACTGTTGTTTCCATGCTCATAGAACAGGCTCGGGCCCTCTCTCGCACTGGAATGAAAAGACACCTTCGTGTTCTCCCCATGTATGCTGGACTGCCTTCTCCTGAGCAGATGAAAGTGTTTGAGAGAGTTTCTCACAATGTCAGGAAGGTAAGGCTGCCGTGTATGTCTCAATTTCTACCACCCAGAGGGGTATCTGCATTACACAGATTGCATATATCTGGCTCACATCATGAGACTATTGCAAACACTTACCGAAGGAGTCTTTCTGTATCTCCTAACACTGCCTATCAGTTTTCAAACTGAACCAAGAGCATGTTCTCTGGATTCCCTTACCACCTTTGATCAGTCTTAGACGTTTATTCTAACTTTCCTGTTAACCTCATCAACTTTCAATTTTCAAGAGTCTTTGTACAACCTCATATTTCTCTATGTCCAGTTGCAGCTTCTTAATACTCTTAAGTCTTTTACCTGGTTTTATTTCTTTTTGTGGTCTAAGTGTCTATGGCTGTTTCCTACCTCTAATGGAAAAATTAGTGTTAGAGTGGGTAAGTGCTGTATTTTCATCTAAGAAACAAGTTAAAACTTGCCTGGTTTTAGTAGAAAAAAATATATAGTCAACTATATAATTGGTCATGATTAATGCTTTCTGCTTAGACAGAGCCTGTGTTGGGGCTGAGATAAGCCCACAGAATTACACAGGGTGACTTCTTATAATTTTGTTCATACTGCAGACTAAAAAGTAGACTTGTTCATCTGGTGTTGGAGAGCATTGAGTATAAATAAACCACAGAACCACAGAATACTTCTTTTCTCTCTAGGGTATGATATTAGTCAATTAACTTCCAAGATTTACTTTTTTAATTTCAGGTGATATAAGGACTAGGTTTCTCTCTGTCATCTGGGAATAATTATTTTTTGATATTTCAGGAAGTAAGTGTAAGTGTATCTGTCCAGGGATACTGAACATGGGACACTTAACTCTGTTCTCCTCCTATCCCCTGCCTTGCTCCAGTGTGACAGGGAACAGCTCAATAGAACTGAGAAGAAAGAAAATACTTGTTCTCACATAGTTTGACTGTAAATCAGGTGTTTTTATTTAGCAATGATTTTCCTCTGCAAACACTGCCAAGATCTTCTTCTACGAAGAGAGAATAAATTTGGATAAGAAAGTGATTATGAAACTGTAAAAACTGGGCTATTTCAAGCTGACAGTTCTGTTTGCTGCATTACTGTATTGTTCTGTACTCCAGAGTGTGTTTACTGGAACTGTCTGTTACTGAGATCTTTCACGTGGCTTGTATTTGAGTCCTGGTTCACAGATGCAAGGCCTTGATGGTGCAATTGAGACTGGGGAGTTCACCATGTCCTCACTGTGTCTGTCTGTAGGTGGTAGTTGCCACCAACGTTGCAGAGACCTCCATCACGGTTCGCGGAATCGTATTCGTAATTGATTGTGGGTTTGTGAAGCTTCGTGCATATAACCCCAAAACAGCCATTGAATGTCTTGTGGTGGTTCCAGTCTCTAAGGCTTCAGCTAATCAGAGAGCAGGACGTGCAGGACGGAACCGCTCTGGTAAATGTTACAGGCTTTATACAGGTCAGTAATCTGGTATGTAGGGAAGGTGAACTTGCTGATGTGACTTCCATTTTGCTTTACAGTGGTTTTAGTGTTAGATAAAGAACAAAAGTGTGTTTTTTCTTTCAGCAGTAGATAGGAAAATGATAAAAGACGCACAAGCGAGTCCAGAGGAGGCCACAAAGATGCTCCAAGGGCTGGAGCAGCTCTGCTCTGGAGCCAGGCTGAGACAGCTGGGCTGGGTCAGCCTGGAGAAAAGAAGGCTCTTTAAAGGGTGACCTTAGAGCAGCTCCAGTGCCTAAAGGGGCACTGGCACAGGGTGCCCAGAGGAGCTGTGGCTGCCCCATCCCTGGCAGTGTTCAAGGCCAGGTTGGACACAGGGGTTTGGAGCAAGCTGCTCTTGTGGAAGGGGTCCCTGCCCGTGGCAGGGGTTGGAGCTGGAGGAGCTTTAAGGTCCCTTCCACTTCAAACCAGCCTGTGATTCTATGTTTCTAATATAAGGACTTCTGGAGCTGCTGCTGCAGATTTCTGTGAAGAACATTTCAAGTAGAAGTACAGTTGGGGCAGCTGCCGAATCAGCAGTGTAGCCAAAACCATTGAATTTTCTGTTTAAAAGAAATCATCTTTAAAATGCAGTAGTTGGAGAAAGATCATCTTTGAGTTAGAGTTCTTTTAACACCTGTTAATTCATACTTGATAATTTTAACTTGAAACAGGTATGATTCTGTGTTCTTGACTATACAGGGTGGAGTTGAATCTCAGTCCTGAATGGCTTTGTTTTCTCCCATTACAGAGGAGGACTTTGAAAAGTTGCCAAAGTCCACTGTTCCCGAGATGCAGCGTAGTAACCTTGCACCCGTCATCTTGCAGCTGAAGGCTTTGGGAATCGACAATGTGCTCAGGTTCCCCTTTCTTTCAGTGAGTCCTAGGCTGTAAAATCTGTCGTCTTTCCTTACTCGGAAGGAAAATCAGTAGATGACTGGTTGGTAACACACAGAACCATTGCGCTGTTAATTTGGAAAGCATAACTTGTTGTCAGCTTTGGGCATTGGGAATCAACTAGTGCAAGTAATGTGTGTGACAACTTCGAAACAACAACTTTTTGTATTCTAGAGATTGCTGGCAAGTCAAGAAAAGCCTAGAAAGACAAACAGATTCTGCAAACTAACTGTAGTCCCTTTGCATTGAATTTATGAAGAAAAAGGGGGGGAAGGGAAAAGATACCTATAGAACTAAACCAGTGCTTGTCTGTTTTGTTAAAAAGAGCAGTATCAAGTTTTAGATTTGCTTTCTGTAAAGTTTCTAGCTACTCTTGTATTGATGTGGAAAACTCACATGGTGGCATTAGAAGTTAAGCTTGTTGAGATGATTTTGACTCGCAGCATTGCAGTCAGTGGAAGGGTGAAAGCAAGAGTCTGAGACCTCTTTCCTCGCTATACAGGAGTAGAAAGATAGGTAATTAGAACTTCAGGATTTTGTAGAAGAGGAAGGTCTAAGAATTTCTGTGATAGCTTGTGTTCTGTGATGATAGCTTTAAATAATGAGCTTTTTTTCTTTTCTCCACAGCCACCTCCTGCCCAGTCAATGGTGCAAGCTTTAGAACTGCTGTATGCCTTAGGAGGTGAGAAATATTACGCTTTGCTTTATTTAGAGTTAAGTTACATGAGTTATGAAAAAACCTGTTAATTTGGATTTGGTGATTGGATGGACATTAATCAAACTTGCATTTGAGAGCTGTGCTTTGACAAAGAGATAACGCAGCCTTGACTGGTGGAAGCTGTCTGTTGGCATGTTTCTAAAATGTACCTAAGTCTCCTCTGAACTTACTTTCTTTTCCTCCAGTTGTTTCAGACAGGTAAGCAAGCAAAAGGCAGCAGTAATTTTCTGGGAGCAACTATAAATCCATTTCATAGAGTATAAACTACAGATTAAGTGTTTAGATTGAGCAAGCATATTTTATAGCTATTATCTGTGTATTTCCTTGCACCTTCATTGGAAGAACCAGCTATTTATCTTTGGTAGGAACAGGGCTCTGAGCTGATGAGGATGTTGGTGTGATTCTCTTAGGCAGATCCTCTGTGTTTCTTCAGACCTTAAAGGGGGTTGGAACTGGATGAGCTTTAGGGTCCCTTTCAACCCAGACTGTTCTAGGATTCTATGAATTACTGATCACAGCTTGTTCTCAAATTCAGTAGAGAGTCGGAACCATGTTCTTAGTCATGTAGTTTGGTGTTAGGTAGTCCTGCGAGGAGCAGGGAGCACAACTCAGTGGTTCTTGAGTCCCTTCCAATTTGAGGTATTCTATGACTGTAAAGGTGTTAATTTCTGTTTTATTCATTATGCTGCTGTTGGATACCTGTAACACTCAAGTCACACTGTAGTAATATTTTTATACACAGGTTTTGATTCCTTTTTGTTGTGAGTGGAATGAATGCTGCCTGATTTTGTTTATAGGAAGGGCTGTTATATTGTTGGGGTATTTGACAGCTATTTAATCTATTTGAATGCAGCAGACTTAAACAAAACAACTTGACACAAGAAGAAGTAGTGAAAGTGAAACAATTTGACTGTAACTCAATGTTTGTAGTTAATTCAAAGTTAACAATATTTGCCCTATAATATAAACATGAAGAAAAGGGTAGTGTGATGGAGACTGTGTAAACATTGGAAACATCCAAAGGTTTGTGACTATTTTGACATCACTTAGAAATGCTGTGTTGTAACTTGTGGCAGTCTGCTGTCTTATTGTCATGGAGCTGTTATTCTCTGCTTGGCCGTCATTTTGCTCTGTGCTGATTCAGCTCCATCTTGCAAAGGAGGGTTTTGCTTCAGGCACTCGGTTCTTGGCAACCTTTCCAAGCTTGGAATAAGGACCTTCACAGTGGCTCAGAAGCATGTTTCAAAGATGAATTCACAGCCAAAAACACCTGGGGAGGTGGAGAGGGAAGGTCAGAAAACTTACTGATTAGCTGTTTGATGTTTTGGCAAAAGTGTTATGCTCATGGTAACTTCACAGAGCAGTACAGAGCTGTTACTCTCTTGGCTGCCCAGCTTTTGTAGCAAAGCAGAGGAATGCTGATGTTGATGAAGATGTAAAGAAATGTGTGTGGTGTTCAGATTCACTCTTAAACATTGCTGAAGTTTAAGGTGTTAGATGGTTTATTATGGAGATTTTCTGTAAGTTGCAGAGGTGAAGCTGCCCAAGCGTTTGCAGCTGCAGTAAGGATTACATTTCTCTTATGCAAGTGTGAACCTGTATTTCAACACTTGCATTGTAATTGCATGCAAATGGGGGTCAGGACCCTACTGTGCCAGTGCAGTGCCAACAGAAAAGCAGATGCTCTTCAGGTTGAGATACTTCTGTTGAATAAACACATCACTGTTTTTAGACTGATTATTTTTACAGTGATACAGATTACGTCAGGGGTATCTCTTCTCAGCCTTCTCCTTTGATGCTTTGAAAGTCTGAATTGTCAGTTGGAGTTTATTGTTTTTAAGAATCATTTAGGAAGTAAATAAGCAGGTAGAAAATGGATTTATTTTTAGCTTCGCTTCAGATCCAAGGTTTTGTTGAAGATCCGTTTGTGAGTTGTCACCTATCAGAAACAACCACTCTACCTAAAAATAGAGTTTTAATCCCTCAGCCTGTAACATACTAGTGCCACAGTAAGTGAATAGTTTCTTACGAGCATCTTCAGTAAAAATCTTTGCAGCATCTTTTTCTAAGATCTCCAGTTTCCTATATAGATACAATAAAATGGTTGCTTCCAGGATGATTTCAAGGCAACTTTTACCTGTTCTGAACTAGTATCCATTGCAGGCTTACCTCTGCAAAGACATCTGTGCATGAGCAAAACTGCATTGAAATTTGTAAGATTAAGCAGAAGCCAAAGGATTTTGGCTTGATGCACATGTAGAAAATTAAAAAGATGGGAATTTATCCTTTTTGCTAGTAGTAATGCCGTTACCCTTCTGTAGATGAAAGACTGCATATTCTAAGGTGGTAATTGTGGTAGCTCTTAAACCTCTCATATTGCACTCATTAAGTGAAAGCTATCAGACCTTCATTTTTGCAGTGTCTGTGACTTGGTGTTTATATCACTTCATCATTTCACACAAGCTGCCTTTTATACCTGTTTCTGAGGAAAATATTGTGACATCTGAAAGGCCTATTAGGTTTGGTTGGACAGTGTAAGGGTGTGGCAAGTGAATCACTACGTTGCCATAATAAGTGAGATGATAGCATATCAAATAATAAACACTTGATAGAGGTATGTGTGGTTTTAGATATGCTGACATGAGTTATAAAAGATTGCATTCCTTGACTTGATTTGTGGTTTTGCTTCTCTCTGGGAAGCAGAGCTGAAGTAAAACTGTGGAGGTTTTGGCACCATGGTTTGACAAATAATGTTTATATAATGCATGGGCCACAGTTGTGTTTCCTCAGTCTTCTCTGCTAAGGTTACTTATGCAATCAGCAGTGCTCCAAAGTCCTATTCATGAGCTCTCGTTCATCCCAACTCTAGGTTTTCTCTTGTGCTCTGCCTCCTTGTTGTACCTCATACAACTTGGTTGACTTGCAGTTTTCTTTTGCAATTCTTACTCTTTGCTGCCTTTTGTAGTGAGCTCTTTTCTTCTTGCTGTTTTTATTAATTCTATTTCCTTTGTCCTCTTGCAAAGGAAATGTCTTTCCATTTAAATCATTCCTGAAATTTCAGCACAGTGCTCTGGGTTGGAATAGGACCTAGTGGCTTGTGTGGGTAAACCTTACTGCAGGTGTTTGACTGTAGGAAGCTACGCAACTAAAATGATAAATGTGCAGGGTTGCTCAGTGATAGCTGGGAATCAAAAAGCAAGCTGTCATACCTATCTCCTGTCCCAATGCCAGTAAAAAGCTTACAGTTGGAACATGGCTGACAATTCAGTTACTGATACATGAGGCAGACTAAACTGTAGGCAGTCTTCATCAGATGCACATCTCTAGTTTAGATTATATTAAAGTTAAAATACTTTCCTCCATGAGCTCAGCAGATGTGACTCAGAAAAATGATGCCCTACCCCACCACACCGTCAGTGCTTCCTCTTTCTACAGTTGTGCCTGTTCCATAACTGTGCCTTTTTTCATTCTCATGAGGACTCCTTCTGCTTCCCATCTGCATGAACAAAGATGTTGCTAAATACTTAAATAGGGGATGCATAAGTCTAACAGCTAATAGGCACTCTGGACATTGCATTGACTTTGATTTGCATTGACTGTAGGTTTGCTAAGTCTTTGGCAGTAGCAATGGAACTTGGTCAAAATGAAGAAACTTCTGTGTTCAAGTACGTTTGAAAAAAGCCAGAACAACCCACTGTCCCACAGCAGAGTAAATCGTAGAATCATAGAATCGTTAGGGTTGGAAAGGACCTTAAGATCATCCAGTTCCAACCCCCCTGCCGTGGGCAGGGACACCTTACACTAAATCATATCACCCAAGGCCTTGGGTATTAAGGAGTGCCTTAAAGCTTAGTTTAATATACATTCAGCACCTCTTAGGTGCATTTGGTATATTTTAGGTTGTAATTTTTGCTTTTTAGTACTTATTAAATCCTTAAAGAAGACTTTCTGTGCTCTTTTGCCTGTATTATTGCTACATTGATTAATATACTGCAGGTTTGGATATGCACTGCCGTTTAACAGAGCCTCTTGGAATGAGAATAGCAGAGTTTCCTTTGAATCCTATGTTTGCAAAGATGCTTCTGGAATCAGGTAGGAGGAAAAAAATCAGATTTTATTCTTAGTCTTGTGATGAGGAGAGGAGGACACTGCCACTTGTAATGGTAGTGTAATACTAGACATTTGCTAAATTTGAAACAAACTGTATGCTTCATCTTGGTATGGTGTTTAGTGATAAAAATTGGTTAAACTTGTGGCTGTCTCTAAGAAATCTAACACATTTGTCTTTAAAGTTTTCCATTAAAACATTCACTGTTATACTAAAAAAATCCAGGAGTTCAGGTATTTTGGTTTTATGTATTATAAAATATATTCTTCTTTTCCTTTTTATTCTGTATGTGGGTAAGTTGAATGGAAGGTGATTTCCTGTACTGAATTTCTCCTCAGGAAATTTTGGCTGCTCCCAGGAGATTTTGACAATTGCTGCCATGATGCAGATTCAGAACATCTTTGTGATCCCTCCAAATCAAAAGTCTCAGGCTGTAAGTTCGGTTGTGTCTCCTTTTCTTCTGGTTAGTTCCATGTTTCTGGAATTCTGCCAAGTATTTTATTGAAACCTGTTACAGATTGCAAGTTTGTATGAAAATAAAACAAGGTATTGAACTGTGCCTGTTGGTTATAGGTAAAAGAAGCTGAGTAACAGTGGGAACGTTGCAGATCTTTCCTAATGTTAAAAGCCTCCTTCTGAAGACTAGAGATATGAAAGTTTATAAGCCAATATTGCTCAGCATATGGGTTTTCTAAAAATACCCAAACCTCCCCAAACACCACTTCCTTTTAAGAACAAAGTATTAGGATGTAGCTGGAGCCTCACTTTAACGCATCCTTCTCTTGGATTTTGGGGGTTCGTTTTCAGTTCATTTTTCTAATTTCAGTTTTAGAAGTGCTCCTGAATATAGGTGGGCTAGTAAAACATTGCTGTTGCCTAGAGGAACTACCCTGTATGGTAAGAACTGCAACAGTCACCAGAAAATATGTACATTAAGGGAACCGATTTTTGCAAAAATCAGTTTGCTTGTTAAAAACTATTTCCTCTTCTCTAGGCCAGGCGACACAGAAAGTTTGCTGTGGAAGAGGGTGATCATCTCACTATGCTTAATGTGTATGAAGCCTTTGTCAAAGTAAGTCACTTCAGGTGTATGTGGACTTGCAGGAATGGGAAGAACTTGAAGTGTTCTGGTTGAATTCACTTCTGATTCTGGAAGTTCTGGATACAGCTTCCTCAAAGCTGAGGATTTACCAAGTTTATTTAGTGATAATCCTGCTTTAAAAGATATTCTGGTCATATTTTGTCACAGACCTTCTGTAGTTCCTCTGAACAGGGAATAGAAACAATTTGGTTTGGATACAGCACAGAAGTCTCATGGATAGACAACTGTTTTTACAAGGAGACTGGGATTTTTGAAAGGGCTTGGAAAAACAGGTATCCAGATTCCTAATGAAGTTCATACTCTCTCATCTTTTCTTTGGATATATCTGAGTTTTACTGATTATAAACTGCATCTAAATCTAGCAGTCTTTTGTAAAAAAATTGCCTCGTTGATAATCGTGTCCTCTTCTTCATTGACCCTATGGATTTACCCAAAGGTTTGACACCATCTCAGTACTTCTCTGTAAACTCAGGTTTTACTTAACTGTTGTGAAGTGCTAGACCTGTTTTGGAGAAGTATATTTTGCTGGTATAAAGCACTTCTGTATTAATATATTTGCGGTGTAACCACACAGGTGTTTGACTTCTCTCTTCCCAGGCCCAAAGCAATCAGTCAGGCACCAACTGAATTTTTGCCCTTTAAATTTTATATCTGCATAATTGTCTTAGAAATAGCCAAATGCAGAGAGAGGCTCTTGGAGTAAGTGCTGGCTTCTGGAGAAATAGTTCTTTGCATAGAGAAGACCAGTGAAAACTGTGTACCAAAAAGGTTGTTTACATTTTGAGGTTGAAAACATACTAGTTTGAGATGGTGCATTTATGTATGAGAAAGGAATGACTGATGCTGTTCTTTCACCACATATGAAGAAACAAGCGCATCTGTTTGAAAATATCCCATAGTATTTGTTCTGCTACTATTTAGAAGTTGTTTGAAATATGTTTTGTAGCTATTTGGGCTAGGTATCCTTGTTAGTTTCTATGTAGATAGGTACTTTTCAAGAAAACAATAATAAATATGTTGTAGGAGTCAGAAGAAAGGCAGAACAAGGCTATGTGATCCAAAGAGATTGGCTTTTGTTTTGCTGATTGTATCTCATTGTGATTTTTTTATTCTTCTTACTGTACAGCACAGCAAGAGCTCTCAGTGGTGTCAGGAGCACTTTCTGAACTACAAAGGGCTTGTAAGAGCTTCTGTTGTAAGAGAGCAGCTGAAAAAGCTTCTTGTCCGCTTTAAAGTGCCAAAGAAGTCTAGTGAAGGTGAACATTGTTTTTAACCTGTTGTCCAGTACATATTGATCATAGTCTCTCAAACTGACAGTCTCTTTGTGCTTTTCTTGTAACCTTTGAAGTCTTTTCTTCCTGGCCAAAAAATAAGGTTAACTAAACCCAGATTTTTCTCCTAAAAATGAGCACAGAAGAGCATTTTAGCCAATTTTTGCAATTAACATTTAGTCCGATCTTTATTAGTTATGTTTTCCAGCAAGAGATTATAGCCACAGATTATATATTGAATGGACAGATTTACCAAAAGAGTCATAAATAGATCACTCTGTTCCCTCTTTCGGGTTTCCAATAAGCCATATTTCTAGTACGTTCAAAATGATGTACAGTCACTGGAAGCTGATTGCCAGCTGCGCTGCGCATGCAGGGAGGCCACGAACAGTTCTCAGCACTTGTCTTTAACTGCTCTGAAAAATCAGAGGTTGATTTTTAGCTGTCCTGCAAGGTTGCTTTTAGGACTGTGAAACTATCTGCAGGGAGACACCAGTGGCAACAGTAGATTTTTATGTGGTAATCTTGATTTGCTGTAAAATTAAAGTCAAAAGAGATTGCAAGGCTTGTCTTCCTTCCAGCCTTCATTATTAAAGCATGATGCATTGTAAAAAGTTGTTTGAGATGATTAAGTGGTATGTTAGGTATTTTTACCAATACATTGACTCATTTTAGAGGAAAATTTTTCTGTTCAGGTGATCCAGATCCTGTTTTGAGATGCATAGTTTCTGGATTCTTTGCAAACGCAGCTAAATTCCACTCTACTGGAGCTTACAGGTAAATATATATAGTTTCATTGCAACTGTTGCTTAGTTGAAAAGCTCCTTTGACTGGATAGGTCTGAGTATAATCAACACACAGATGCTTCTTTAGACAATTACAATAAGAAACACATGACAGTTGATTTACTAAATATGTGAAGTTTTGTATTTTCAAACTGCTTTAGTGTTTATCTCTTCTCTTTGGCAAATGTAAATAAAGTTGCTGATAGTGGGAAGCTGTTTCTAAGGGTAATTAGTTTGTGTTAATGTAAGCAAGTACAGTTGTAGTGCAGCAGTGTTGTAAGCACTTCAGGGGCACTCAATAAAAGCCTGAAATGCTGCTTTTTCATTTTAATATAGGTAGAACTCCTAGGACATTAAAGTGTCAATTGTTCCTTTGCGCAGGATTTAAGCTTGGTTTCATCTGTTCATTAAACACAAATGGGTTTAATTTGCTCCAGCTCTTTTGTTGTTCCCTTTTATTAACATTCTTACTGGGGATGAAAGGAAACAGCTGTTAAACAATGAATAGATGTACAGTCTGAAATGCTGTTTTGCTTTCAAGGACTATCCGTGATGACCAGGAACTTCATATCCACCCCACGTCAGTGTTGTATGCAGAGAAACCTCCACGCTGGTAAGTTAAACTGCTTTCACTTGTTTTGTGATCTTGGAAAGACAATTTCAGCATCCAGACATTTTCATGAATGACCTTTCTCCATCAGTGGAGGAATAGATGTAGAAGGTCATGGTTCCCCGGTGAGAATTCAATTGCTATTTCTTTTGCAAATTTTTGTGTAGGCAGTGTCCAAATAAATCAGGGAAATAGAGTGACATTTAGCTGCCAAAAAAACCTGCAGAGGCTGGGAAGCAGAGTCAGGTAACCCTGCTTTAATGGGCACCATATCTTGCACTGCAGGCTGCTCTTTGAGTAGTCTCTGTACCTATATAGAACTAGGGTTAATTTACTTTTATTAAGCCTATTAGGGATATGATTCTATGAAATATTCTGTCAGGTAGGTGCTGCAGTAATTGCAAATGGCTGATGCAACAAGTTCTGTCTGTTTAGCAGGTTGAGGAAAGAAATGGTTGTACTTTTGTGTTAGTGAGCATTTTACAGTTTCATTTTGTGTGTCAGAGATGCTCAGATGACAAATAGATGCATTCCTAACAATCAGGCAGCATGATCAATCTGAGGTGTTTGGACTCTTGTCCTTCTTTGCCTCTTGCTGAGACTTCGAAAGATAAACTTGGCCAATGTCATCTGTTATCTTTGAATTGGACTCCTCCACCTGGTGTGTTGGATTTACAGAAGTATAACTGATTGGAACTTGGCCACTAATTACATTGGCTCACAAAGCAGAAATGAGTCCAGCTCATTGTACTGATTCTTCAGGGCTGAGTTAAGCAGCGTGTAGCTCTGTAGGTCTTGTGATATTGCCACAACCAACTGAAAAACACTACTGGCTCCCTTGGTCCTGTAACACAGGAGTTTAACTTGCTCAGGAACTCTGATTTCTGTGCTACTGCTGCCTGGGCAACCATCCTCTACTGAAGGCTTCATCTCTCTGTTACAGGTGTATATTGAATGTGTTCTTGTTCTTGTTTTTTTTTTCCTCAGGTTTCTCTTTAGTTGTATTAGTTTGTGTGTCTTGGCTGCATTTGGCAGAGAAGAGAATTTTGGACTTGTTCCTCTTTGCTTTTGGGAGCAAAATGCCAGTTAATGAGAGGCCCCAAACCTTGTGGGCTTGCAGCTCTACTGTGTGTAGAGGGCAGATAACGTGGCTTTGCACTTCCTTGGTAAAAATTTCTTTTCCTGCTGAAGGGTGACTTCAGAAATAGGTTGTCCATGCTGGCAAGCAGTTCATGCTGGCAGCAGTGATTGAGTCCACAGGGGTTTCTGTTTCTAAATCTCTTACAGGAAATGTTCTGGTAGTAGTTAAAGGTGTTTTCTACCTCTAATCCTTATCTTGACTGTCTGTAAACAGGCACCAGAGATAGTCATGCTGTAGTTTGTGCCCTACTTGTTACGGGTCCAGGGTTTTGGTGCTTTTGAATCCTTATTAATGGTATCACAGAGTAACTAATATTCTCTCTTCCAAAGTATCTGTTAAGAGTCCCCCTTGGCTCCAGTGTAAGAAATATTTTTTCTTCTATACCTTTCATCCAGATGTCCTAATAGTAAGCAAAGGTGTTTTGAGTGGTACTCTAAAGGTTGTATTAATGTAAAGTATTCTGAAAACCAGAGGGAAGGAGGTAAGAGTTTGTATGATAACATAAAGACTTCCTTGTCATTCTGTAAGTACTAATCTGTCAGTATATACTGTGAAACTACATACTAGATATATGTATAAATATCGAGTCTAAATATAGAATCACGGACAGGTTTGGGCTGGAAGAGACCTGAAAGCTCCTCCAGCTCCAACCCCTGCCAGGGGCAGGGACCCCTTCCACTGGAGCAGCTTGCTCCAAGCCCCTGTGTCCAACCTGGCCTTGAACACTGCCAGGGATGGGGCAGCCACAGCTTCTCTGGGCACCCTGTGCCAGCGCCTCAGCACCCTCCCAGGGAAGAGCTTCTGCCTAAGAGCTCATCTCAGTCTCCCCTCTGGCAGGTTCAAGCCATTCCCCTTGGCCTGTCCCTACAGGCCCTTGTCCCAAGCCCCTCTCCAGCTTTCCTGCAGCCCCTTTAGGCACTGGAGCTGCTCTCAGGTCTCCCCTTGAGGAGCCTTCTCTTGTCCAGGCTGACCCAGCCCAGCTCTCTCAGCCTGGCTCCAGAGCAGAGCTGCTCCAGCCCTCGCAGCATCTCTGTGACACCCTCTGGACTCGATCTGGCAGCTCCATGTCCCTCTTTTGCTGTTGTCACCAACATAATGCTGTTCTCATCTCTCTCCCTCATTGCTATAAAGCAAACACTTTTTAAATTTTATTTTCCTTCTCCTAGGGTAGTCTACAATGAAGTCATACAGACTGCGAAATATTACATGAGAGATGTGACTGCTGTAGAATCTGCATGGCTCTTGGAACTGGCACCTCATTTTTACCAGCAAGTAGCAGTACAGGATCAGCATAAAGCCCAAATGGTACCATTGCTGTATTAGCAACTCTTGCATCTGAACTTCTAATGTGTTCGTGTTTTGTTGTTGTCTATTTAATGGTACAAAAATAATTTGGTTTTGTTAATTTTAGTGGTTATAATATAAAAAGGAATATACTGAATTGATTCATGAAAGCTTTTTCCCTATAATCCGGCCAACAGACATGATCTCAAACTTACAAAATAGAGTATCACTAGTAAACGAAGCCTTCAACCATTTTACACTTTACACCATAGGCACTTGGTAGGACTTTTCTGAGGAGCACTATGGGTAGGCAGTGGTTATAGGTTACATAATAATTTAGGAGAGTCTTTATATGCTTTGCAAATTTGAGTGGATTTAGAGCCTTTTTTTGAGCATTAATTATATTTACTAAAAAAAAATAATAAAAATCTGCTCTTTTCAAAATTGAAATGACAAAAGAAAGCTGCTATTTGTGCAAGGCTTTATTACAAATTCCGTTGCATGCACATACCTTTTAGAATCCCACACTGGTTTGGGTTGGAAGGGACCTTAAAGCTCCTCCAGCTCCAACCCCTGCCACAGGCAGGGACACCTTCCACTAGAGCTGCTTGCTCCAAGCCCCTGTGTCCAACCTGGCCTTGAACACTGCCAGGGATGGGGCAGCCACAGCTTCTCTGGGCACCCTGTGCCAGCACCTCAGCACCCTCCCAGGGGAGGGCTTCTGCCTAAGAGCTCATCTCAGTCTCCCTTCGGGCAGGTTAAAGCCATTCCCCCTGGTCCTGTTGCATTCTGCAAGTGTGGTGTAAAAAGGAGATGAGCTCATGTTCCAGTTATATCAGATCTGTTCCCTTTTGGCTCATGTATTTACATGTTGCAACATCCCATACACAACATAATGTCCCCTTATGATATGACCTCTTCATGGGCTAAGTTTGGGGTGACTTCCTTCATGCTTTCATTCTGCACTTTGGTAGGCCTTGAAGAGCCTGGAGGCTCAACGGTCCAGTGCAACTATGGCTGCAGTGTTAACACATTAGTTAAAGTCTTATACTTCATGCACCTACTCCTAGTGTGTGTGCAGCTGTGTTGCTGGGAGCACACACACCTTTATCTGCATTTTTACAGAAATACTAGAAGATTGTATTTTATAACATTTTTTTTATACTTAAACTTGAGAAGGAACTTCTTCTCAGTGAGGGTGACGGAACACTGGAACAGGCTGCCCAGGGAGGTTGTGGAGTCTCCTTCCCTGGAGACATTCAAAGCCCGCCTGGACACATTCCTGTGTAACATTATCTAGGTGTTCCTGCTCTGGCAGGGGGATTGGACTAGATGATCTTTTGAGGTCCCTTCCAATCTCCAGCATACTGTGATACTGTGTGATACCAAGCCAGAATCACACTGTAGGTCTTCAATTTCATAGGTTTATTTTAGCAATATCAGTAACAAGCAGAGCTTGGGAAGGGTTGTCTTTAATACTTGTATAAGAATTTCTTTAATTTGAAATGACTGAACACATTCTAGTTGAACTTTAGTCCAATTGTGCTGTATATGCTAATCAGTTTTTCTTTTCTTTTCTTGCAGCATCTTTCCTTGACAGCAAAACGGGCTAAAGTAGGAGACCAGTGATTTGACATGACTTAAGTCTTCTGTCATCAGATGCAGAGCCTACCAGTGATTTGAAGCTGGCTACAGTCCCTTCAGGAGTCAGTTCATTAGCAATTTGATTTTCCATCAACTTAAATGTTTAAATGCCTGCCAGGATCTGTAGGGGTTTATGCATGACCAGCACATTGTAAACCTATGTAGAGCTTGCATTGTGCACATTTTATTCTTTGCCTACTTGACCACTGTTGTTAATCTGGGCATGTTGCTCCTCCTAAATAGGTAGAAAAATAATTTACAAAGTAAGAGGACATACAAGACCACAAAAACCTGAATGAAACCTTCAAGAAGGAAACTGATTTCCTAGAGTGGTATGGCTGCCTGATGAGATGCGGAACAGGGTACCCTGCCTCCTATTACCTAGAGCACTGTGACTAATACTGGCCAAACTGAGCCTGGCTCCTGACAGCAGGAGCTCAGGGCAATGGACTAGCCCTTGAAATACAAGGTGCTGACAGCAAAACATTGATTCCACATTGGACCATCCCAAACTGGTGCAGCAGAAGTCTCCTGGCTGTGGTCGAGCTGCCCCTGGCTCCCTGTGCTGTGACAGTCCTTCTGTAGGACAGTGTCTTGTTCCCATACACAAGAATTCAGCTTGGGGAGAGGAAGAAAGAGCAGCTCAGTGTTTCTTTTAGAAAGATGAAGTTTTTGCTCAGTCAGGGGATAGTGCTTTGCTTTTTTTTTTTAAATTATTTTTTCCTAGCAAGTGAAAAGATGGAGCTTCACTGCTTGGAAACCCCAGAAGATTTGAGCAGGGGTTTATCATGCAGCACTGTTTTTTTAGCAAAGAGGAAAATGCTCTGTCCTTTCCTATAAAGAACACAATCCTATATGTTTCTTTTATTAAGGATCTGTTCTTTGTTGCTTGGGACTCTCCTTCATGTGTTATTGAAGAGAAAGGTGTTCTGAACAGTTGCTGCTTTAATCGGACTCCATGGCTGCTTTTCAGTAAGGAACTGCACATTTTGGATACATATATTTATTTTAGAAACACATTGTTTGAAAATGTCCTTTTTGTGAGGCAGCTGATGTGATGGGTGGGTTTGGGCATCTCAACTAGAATTTTATTTCTTTTTTAAAAAAAGGATGTACATAGGCAAAAATTTCTACATAGAACAAATGCCTTCCTCATCACAGGGCTGCCTTTAGAACTTTCTTGAGAGCTTCTTTACCCTCTCCCTTCCAAACACCTGCAGAGGGAAGATGTATCATGTGCAGTGTGTCTGCTCAGTGTCTCTGTACTGACTGCCAGCACAAAAAGCTGTACCAGTCTCTATGTATAGCACCAGCAGCATGACAAACCACATTACCTTCCTTCTTGTTTCCCTGTAAACCTCATCTTTGGATTTCTGTCTCTTAGAGTGGAAGCTCTTTGGGGCAGGGAAGATCTCCTAGCCAGAGCCCAGAACAGTGTTGGCACTTACTAAGAAGATTCAATTTGCAGGTGTTTTTTTTTTCTCTTAAAGGACTGGGGAAAGAGCTAAAGATGAAGACGTAAAATGTGCATGTCTCTGTCCTCTGGAAGTATTGTGATGAAAAATAAAACCATTGAATCAAGGAAGCTTGAGAGTGCATCGCTTCTGCCTGAGTAGTGGGCGATTCCTCAGCATACAGGACAGTTGTAGTGAGCTGGTCTGACCTGGGCTGGGATGGCAGTGGATGACCGCTTCGCTGCTGGTTCTGGGCATTTCTGGTGGTTCTGGAAAACTCTCTTCTCTGGGTGCTCTCTTACCTGGCTGTGCAGCTGCCAGATTTTCTCTTGGAATGATTGTGAGTCCTGCTGAGTTCAGACCCAGGGAGGTACAGCTTCGGGCATGCTGTGAGCAATTGTGCTTTTAGAACAAGTGCAATAGGTCTTTGTAAACAAGACCAGAAACTGAGCCTTGGGTCTTCAGCAGTTTTACAAACTGCTGAGGCTTTGCCAGAGGTGCAGACACAGAACAGGCAGACTTTGTACTAGCGAGGCAGTCTAAAGAGAGTACCCTGGAGAGAAAGCACTCTTTGCATCAGAAATGTGGACTCTTTGAAGGTGTTTGAAGACAGAGACCCAAAACATAGAAGACCTGAAAATCTCTTTACTTTGTAAAATGCTGGCCTATGTCTCTCACCTAGATTTATACATAACATTAGGCTTTAAATAACTTTGACTGAGGAGATGAGTAACTGTGCCTTGTTCTTGGCTCTTTGCTGCATAAAGAGTCTGTGCTGTTGTGGGGGCGGCCAGAGTCATTTGAACATGGTTGTCAGGAGTTTATGAAACAGATTATAGATTTTAAACCTGGCTTTTAGAGAGTGAGGTTAAAATACAAGGGTCTTGAATCAAAAGCCTTATGTTGGCATGAAATAGAAGTCATGCCACCACTGGCAAGGAGATATATTGTTTTGAAGAGTAAATTTGCAATCCATTAATGTCAAATTACCATGGAGGAAAAAAAAAGCTATACTCCACAAATCCATCCGGAAGTGCTCTCAGTGCTCCTAGTCATGACCTTAGTATTGTCTGTTATAAAATAAGATGTAGCTAAATTGGAATAAAATTTGGCTGAGACAATATTAATTGGACTGTATTTTGCCTCTTGTAGACTAAAAATAATCCTGATATACTGATGGAAGAAGAGACACAAATCTCCCTGGTTCCTCTGGAGGCAGAGACAATTGACTAAAGACTAAAATGAAAAAAGGGAAATAAATAAGGGAGAGGTGCTGTTTCTTCTTGGTGCATGATGGTAAAAGTGCCTGTATAACGCAGTGCCAGGTTGGACTGGGCTTGGAGCAAGCTGCTCTAGTGGAAGGTGTCCCTGCCTGTGGCAGAGGGTTGAAACTGGGTGAGCTTTAATGTCCCTTCCCCACCCCAAACCGGGCTATGACTCCATGATACGTAATTGAGTGATCACCCAGCAATGTTCTCTAAAGGTTCATCAAGGTAATGTAACTTATTTTTAAGCTGAGTTCATTTTAGACATGTCCTATGAGAAGCACAGATAGGCATTGGGAAAAGAGGTAAGCATGTATCTTTTACCAACCCCCCCTACTTTAGCAGAACCAGGTACCTGTGTAACTCATTCTAGTTCTGGTGGTTCAAATCCCTTCTGGCTCCTGGGCAAGGACAGTTACTAGTTTCCTGACCCAGCAAATGTTAACAGGACAGAGGTGCTGAGGTGGGAGCGCTGGAGCAGCGTTAACTGCATAGGGAATGTGAAGCCCTAGAAATGTTCGTTAAAACCAGCTGTATTCTTCACAAACTCTTTCTGATTATGAGGGAGGGATGGGCTGCGCTGGTTCTGCTGGGAGCCTTGGCGGTGGGAAAGGAAGAGCAGAGCAGCAGAGCGGAGTCTGCAGGGAAGGGGCAGGATTTCTTCACCATGGGTTCACCTTGTGGCTCACACAGGGCATTGGCTGATGACTGCTCTGGGTGCTGCTGAGCAGGTAGTTACTGAGCTGCTGGCTTGGTCAGTGGGAAACTCAGCTTCCAGAAGCTGACTGGGAATGAATTAGCGAGCCAGTACTGCTGTGCTTGTGTCCTTTGTGTGACCGTGGTAATGGAACCCCCAACCACCAGGAAAGTCTGTCCTTGTACCCAGTTTCTGGATGTTCTCAGACTTGCAGAGGTTTTGTCCCTGGGAGATTGGACGGGGTTTTATTTCTGTCAGTTTAAACTCCGTCTTTTTCTGGAAGCTTTCTCAAAGATGAGAGTTTTGGGCTCAAACCTGACCGCACTTTGAGCAAGGTGCCGGTAGGTGGCAGGCGACGGTTTCGAGTGGTTCTATTTTGGAGACCAAGTACGTGACCGGTTCATCCTAAGGGTTTTCCTGCTCCTTCAGTTCTCACATTTGGCTGGTTTAGTGATAAGTGGGATGAGAAAGGGTAAAGGAAAAAGCTATCGTTAGGGTGGGATAAAGTATAATTTGTAGTGTGGTGATCAGTGGAAAAGCCCATACTGCTGTGTGCCCCTCTGGTTTCCCTGCAGCCAGAGGCACGACTTCCCTGCTTTGCTTGTGCAGCCTCTGCCTGCAAGGGTCCTGTAAGGTCAGTGGGTCTCAGACCTGACCAGGAGGTCGCCCACTGGCTCCCTGTACACCCCATCCTGTGCTACTTTGCTGGGTAAAGTCAAAACTTCCAGGAGGAAGAGCAGGACATAGATCAAAAACTTGCAATGGTTTCTTGGCTCCCTTCAGGCCAAGAAATAGGTTGTTCATTGCAGGTGACTGTTGCCACAGAGATAATCCTTTTGGACAGGGCATGTTTTGATGCCATGAAGCATCCTCCATGGGACTTGTGCTGTTTCTCTTTTCAGGATCTGGTGAGATAACCACGGTTTCACAGAGCCACAGACTGGTTTGGGTTGGGGAAGGGACCTTGACACTCATCCAGTTCTAACGCCCTGCCATGGGCAAAGACACCTTGCACTGGAGCAGGTTGCTCAAACAGGTTGTTTATAAGTGACCCATGAGCTGTGCAACAGCCAGGCTGAAGCGAGAGCAGGGAAAGAACCTTTTCAGGTGAGCTAGGTCCTGAAAGAGCCAGGCTCATGTTCAGTCCTGCTGCTAAGAGCAGGATGTTTGTAAGGCAGAGTTGATACTCTCTTCTTCCTATTCTTCCCCTTGCCTGTTACTTCTCCGGGAGGCTAAAGACTATTTCTATATATGCGGGTATGCACATGAGAGTTTGGTACGTGGGACAACAGGGCACAGACATGGCCATGGTGAAGGCATGCTTGTCCCCCTTCCTTGAGAGCACAGGGAGCCCCTAGGATGGCACTATTCAAAATGTCCCCACTGCTGCTGTTCTGCAGGCAGGATTTGCGGCATGTGAGCATGTCTGCAACGCGCGCTATGGTAGGTCTGTGTATCATTACTGTAATCCATCTTTGCACCTTTCCATTAAAGTGCCATTTGAAGGCCTCCTGAGGATGTGCTGGACCACAGGGAAGACTTGTGAAGATGAGGGAAGAAGTCCAAGTGGACAACACTTGTCATTAAGTGAAGAATGAAGGGAACAGTGGTGCAAGGAGGGCTGCAGGTATATGCCTGATAAGAATAGCTGCTGCTCTGGACCTGCTCTACATCCTCCTGCTGTTCTCCATATGTGAAAGCTGTTTATAGATGCCTCCTAATTCTTGTCCTTTTGTCACCGAGTCCTTTTGAGTC